GTTTCACATTATTTACCTGTTTATTTGTGTGGCGGGATTTTATTTAAATACAACATTTGCTGGTCAGAATCTGTAGTAAGACTCATCTGGACTGAGCCGTGGATCTGCACGAACGCGTCGCAGTTAAGACCCTCCTTTGCCTCTTAGCAGCTTTCTTCTGTGGACGGTAGTTGCTACAGAAAAAGTGAATTTCATAAAGTTTGTGAAGATTTATGAGAATAAATTTTTAGCAACATATGTGAAGACTTTAGGGTCTTTGAGCTGCCGGGAAAATGTTGAGGGATGTGTTGATGTTTTCATGCAGATATATGAGGTCACTTTGTCAGTGTTCACTCTGTCCTGTTAGTGTTCTCAGATCCTGATGAGCTGCTGCTCAGTTTTCCCTCACCTGTGTTTGTGTAGATCACGGGTGTGTCGATCCTGAGAGCGGGAGAGACCATGGAGCAGGCTCTGATGGCCGTGTGTAAAGACATCAGACTGGGAAAGATCCTGATCCAGACCAACCACGACACCGGAGAACCAGAGGTTTGAGAATTTCAAACATTTTTCTCTCTCACGTGTTGTGTGAAGTTCGAAGGTAATGCCTCACAAAGTAAAATGATTTCAGCCAACGTTTTTGAAGCGTGATGGCATTGAAACCAATGACTTTTAAAGTTCAATAACAAGTGTCACAAAGCTGCAGCCAAGCCCTTCATCACTGAAAAATGACATCAGGCTTTTAGGGTTTTCTGAGTGTAAAACCAGACAACAGTACAGCCTTTTTCACGGATTAAATGTGGTTTGGCAGAAATATAACAGGATTCAGTTAAGCACCAACGCTTCCGAGCTTTCAACCTGAAAAAACTGTTTAATCATCCAGGACAGTGAATGCAGCATTTTCTCAGTTCTCAGCTTCTTACTTGTGTTGATGTTGTTTGTACAATTTCATCAGATAATGTTTGGTGTGTGATGTCATTTATCTCAGTTGTAGTGTTTAGATTTCCAAATTTAATTCTGTCTCTCACACAGACATTGTCTGCTTTTGTTTTTTATTGTATTTTATGTTAAGTTTTTTTTCTCCTTTAGCTCATAAATACTTTGACATAGCTGACAAAGCGTAGCTATACAAGACGTTTCCAGGTATATTCGTCAATAATTGATAATAATGATATTATAATTTTAGATTATTCTTCCAGTGATTTAATGATTTTAGCTTTTAGTGAATATCAGAATATCTGCACATTTGTTATTTTATTTCCTGTCTTGTCTCCGTCCTCCAGCTTCACTACCTTCGGTTGCCCAAAGACATCAGTGAGGACTACGTCATCCTGATGGACAGCACCGTGTCCACCGGAGCTGCTGCTCTCATGGCTGTCAGAGTGCTGCTGGTTCGTCTACACAGCTCCTCAGCTGTCATTCATAAAACACTCAGTTTCTTAACCTTATGATAATTAAGGGAGATAATTCTGGACTTCAGTTCAGGAGTATGCATTAGACATTTTAATTCTCTCTCTCTCTCTCTCTCTCTCTCTTCATTTTCCTCTGTGAAGGACCATGACGTAGCGGAGGATAAGATCTTCCTGTTGTCGCTGCTCATGGCAGAGATGGGCGTGCACTCCGTGGCCTATGCGTTCCCTAAAGTCCGCATCATCACAACAGCGGTGGACAAGGAGGTCAACGACCAGTTCCACATCATACCAGGCATCGGTGAGAACGTTTTCCTCTCTTCTCACCTGAGTTTGTTGTTTCACACAGGTGGATTTGCCTCCATTCTTCCTCTGGGAGAATTTAGTTGTTTTTTTTCCAAGAGAAACTTATAAAATGCTGTACAGAATTTTAAATGCAAGTTATAAACAAATACACAGATAAAACTACAGAAAAGTCCCCTGAGAAATCTAAGACTGTGGCAGAAAGAACAGACATAAGTGGAGCTTTCTCCAGGGTGTGGTGTCCAGTAGAGGCAGCTCTGGTTTTAAGACCTGAACAGGTCTCAGAGTCCTCAGAGAAGAGCTCAACAGCTCAGTTGTGTTCAGCAGAGCCAGCCACTGCAGAGGTTTATGAATTACCTTTAACATTTATTGGCAGCCGGTGAAAGAGCGTAACAAAAGGTGATGTATGGATCCATCAGTGGAGGTTTTTCCAAGTGTAAATCAACACTAAATCACAGAGGGAAGAAAACCTGCTGCTGCTCTGCTCTGTGGGTGAAAACTGCCCAGTGTGCTGCTGTGGTGATGTCAGAGCAGCTGCTTTGCTCAGTAAAACTGAATGTACTGAATAAAAACACCTGCTGTGACTTTAGTGACTGAAATGTGGCCAGAAGTGCTGCATCTAATGTATTCTAAAGGCATTAAGATGGTGATCAGATTAGACCTGGATCTGTGACTTCAGCACTCAGTGCTAGATCAGGTTATGGGGACAAAAGATACTGGGAAAGTAGTCTCAGACGTTTGAACCCCACTGTATGAAACCATTACCTAGTTTGTCACACTAGGTAATGGTAAGGTTTATTTATTTTTTGACTTTAGTGTCTCATTCAGTTACACATCATAGTGACAATTCTCTGAAAAAGAAATGTAAGGGATCCTGATCAAACATGTTTTCAACTCCAAATATCCAGTACTGAAAACGCTGTGCTCCACATTTTTCTTTTTTATATATATATATAGCACATTTTATTACACATAAACTCAATGTGCTTTACATTGAGAGACAAAATAGAAAAATACAGGCATAAACATGAGAAAATAGGTAACGCAGGCAACCGAAATATAAGAATATAAGCATACAAGTCAAATGCAGACAGTCCCAGCGTACATCAAACACACCACAGAGGGATGCACATGGGTAAGCAATGATAACGAACACTTGAAATCATGATACAGTCCCAGAGGCGAACCAGAAGCGATGAACAGTCGTTAGTTTAGTCAGCAGGTAAATGCCACTGAAATGTCTCCAAATCCTTCACTTGGAAAGAACAGAAGAATCCTGCACTCTGTCCATTACCTGTGCTCACTTTATTCACGTTTCAGTCCTCAGACCTTCATCAGGCAAAGTTCATACAGACAATCAGCACCATAGCACAATTACTAAAAGTAAAATAAAGTAGGTTCACATCACATGATAAGGCCTTTTTTTTTTTTTTTTTTTTTAAAAATCAATCCCATATTGTTGCATAGAGTAACCTATATAAAATCAATAATATATAAAATGAAATTTTCTCTACACCCACTTGAGTTTGCAGGTCTGGATCTTGTGTAATAGGACACATTAAAAAAAACTATGAACCTGTCTGTATCGTTTCTCCTTTCACCTGCTGCAGTTTTCTTCTCACTCTCTCATCCAAAGGTAATTTTGGAGATCGTTACTTTGGCACCGACGCTCCGTCAGACTGGTGCGAAAGTGATGAAGGGATGGACTTCTGAAGAGAGGAGCGATCGGGGACACGGAGGGTCGTTACAAAAAGCACTTATCTGGTAACCCTCCTTCATCCCTCACTGCTCTGGATCTGCCCGACGCCCGCCTGACCGCTGAGGTGATGCTGTACGAACTGCTTCCTGTTCAGAGAGTTCAGTGTCAGGTCAGTGAGGAGCTTAGTGAAGAATTCCATTTGTGCCATTCTGCATTCATGTTTACAGCTAAAGTTTCAAGGGGTCAAAGTTCAAAGTGTTACCTCTCTTGCAGGATGCTGGATATTTATTGGCTTTTATCGCTATCTGTTCACACACACACACACTGACCTCTGATCAGCTTTCAGAGTTGTAATTAATTCCACTGCAGGCTCAGAAGCTACCTATTGAGAAAAAAAATGTCTGATTATAATGTTAATGATGTTGCCAGTAATGTGTTTTTGTTGCTAAAGCTGCAGCTGTGAAGCTTCGGAGTCGATGTCGACACGTTTGAATGAGCGTACCGTCAGTTTACTGGAGAAGCCTTAAAATCTTTTTCTTCTTTATCCTTCCTAAGCCAGATGTTGTAAATATATCAGTGTTGGAAAAAACTCAGCTGGGAAAAATTAACTAGAGCAATGCTCAGTTTTTATCAATAGGTTTAACAGCGAAACGATGTACTTCAAAGTTTTCAATGGATCAATCTGCTACATGTCCAATCACTAATGATCTAATTTTGCACAAAGACATGACCTCACTTTTCTTTTAAGACGAGTCTCTATCATAAAGCTTGATGTGAGGACTGCTGTTCTAAAGGACATTTACAGAGTTTAATGTAATATATCGTCTCTAACAAATAGTGTGGTGAAGTTTTCTTTTCTTTTGCTCAGCTTAAAGCTTTTTGTAAGAATTATCAGTGTGTTACGGCTGCGGCTGCTGCTGCGGCTGCTGCTACTGCGGCTGTGCAGTAAAATAGTATTTTCTCAGGCAACACTCATTGAAAGGGACGACAATGATTCATACTTGAACAAGAAGAGTGACGGGAGGGAAGCAGTCCGATGTTTTTAGTGTACATTTCTTTTCTCTGTTACTATTTTCTTCTGTTTTTTATCTCATTGACAAATCTTTCTCTAATTCCACTTTAGTAGTTTTCTACAGCAATAACAGCCGTCACGCCTGTCTTATTGCATCATAATATTTAAAAACTAATACACTAACTAAGCTCCCCATTTAGCTTTGATATGAACCATATAAACAGTTAAAAAGTGGTTTAAAACACACTATGATGTAGTTATTATCAGTGTAGATGTGTTAATGTGTTTGTTAACAACTGTAACTCCTACTGGACACCCATAGGTGGGCACTGGTGTGTAAAAGGATACTGAACCACATAGTAAAAGTAACATAGTAAAATACAGGTGTCGTTATGATTATTGTTACATTAATAAACACTATAAAAAAAACCCTTATAACTACATGATAGTGTGTTATAAACAGGGTTTCCACAGGTGCTTGATAATACTCGACAGTTTATGAATTTGAGATTAAAAAAAAAATCAATCTTGAAAGTTTTTGAAAATGGACATTAATAGACATGGGTTATTGAAAGTGCTTAATGTATATATTCTGTGCAAGAGTCTGCCATCACTGTAACACAGCACAGTTGAGACGTGATGACACATTCAAGCCTCTCTCTCATTTTTCCTGTGAAATTCTGTGAAGCTGTTAATTCTCATTATACACATTTTTAGTTTTCTAACAGTAATTAACCTCGACCCATGTCTTGAACCAACCTTGAATTTGAGGAAATCTGCATGGAAAGCCCTTGAATAATCCTTGAATTGGATGTTTCAGAAGTGAGGTGTGGGAATCCTGTATAAAGCATTTATTAAATGTTTATATTCGGTTTATAAATGTTAAAGTAAAGTCTCAACCCCTTAAACCTCTGTGTGTTCTGGTTACATTGAATGCTTTTAAACAGCTTTGAAGACACAATATCTAACTCAGCTCTAGCTGCTAACTAAGTCGGCGTATAGTTAGCAAATGCTTTGTATTGCATTGCTTGTCAAACCGTGTGTAGCAGCCACTGATGTAACGCTCTGTGAAAAAAAGTTGTGTTGTGATAATAATCTCATAGACCAGATCAGAAGACACCAGGTGTTCTTTCTTACAAAATTGGTCAAATATCATGAAATAAACAGCACTTGTGTTAGGTTATAGGTGTACTAAATTTACTTTGTCATGGACTTGAAGCCTCAGTAGCGTCTCATGTATAAACCTCCCAGTTTATGTTTGATATGATACAATGCAGAGACTGACCCATATGGGATGCCCGCGTGTTGTGGTAACCTTGTTTGCTGCTTCTTAATTTTTTTGCAATTTTTTATGTTTTTATTTATTTATTGTATCGTTTGCAAGGATTCTACATCTTGACGGATTTGTTTTACACCACATCACAGCGATTTATCCAACTTTCATAACCTAAATATTACAGTTTTTACTGTTAATCTGCGGTTTATGGACTCTGTTCTGTCGATACATGACAGGCCTTATCCACTGGACAGATTGACTTGTTGAACACAGGTTTAACTATCATTAATAATGGCTGCGTTCCCTTCAGGTGCTCCTGTGCTCCAAAATGCACATGAATGGAACAGATCTATAATCAGTGTTAGTAGTTACACCCTTTCTTATGAGCTCATCAAAAAATAAAAGCAAATTACAACTGATCACTTGAATGAAAAGTCAGCCACTGTCACCTTTTATCTGTACTGTCCCACAACAATGTACTGTTTTTTATTTATTTATTTCTTAATGTGGAAGCTGGTTACCTTGCAATAAGTGATTTACATGAAAGAGTTTTGCTGAACTATGTTGCAAATATATTCATTTTTAAGCAATGTGCAGACTGATAAACTTTTTCACAGCTGGAGAAACACAGGTGAAACTAGAACAATCATTAATTAATCAGTGGATCAAATGAAAAATAATTATTTACACAATTATTTTGATAATCGGTCAATCGTTTAAGTGATTTTGTTATGCTAAAATGATAACAGAAAATGCCTCTCAAATATTAAGATCTCCCACTTTTCACTGTTTTATGTCATTTTACACTTAATATCTTTTTTGGACTGTTGGTTGGATAAATTAAGACAGTTGAAGATGTAAACTTACTGGGATGGACATTTTTTTACTACTTTTACTATTTTCTGATATTTTGTAAATTCAACAATTGATTGATTGAGAAAATGATATGCACATTTATCAATAATGGACGTTATTATTAGTCACAGCCCTAGGTATAACTAATAACACTAGTAATGGTTCACTTCTGTTCAGGTGCTCCAATAAGCCTCGTCTTTGAGCTGGCATGCTCTGACACACCTGAATCAAATGCAGCCATGATTAGTGTCGTCACTCACACCTGTGTTTGGCAGGTCAGTGTGCCCTCTGTGGGAACCGTCTGTCGCTTTGTAGTTGTTTTGTTTTTGTACGTTCCACCTCCCCTGTACAGAATAAAAGCATTACCTTAAACCAACTGGACTTTGTGTTGAGTCTTATTACAGTACCTGCAGCCTGTGTAATGTTGGAGTCTTCTGCTAGAGGGCAGCAAATTTCCTTGTTTACAGCGGATGTGACGCACACTGCACTTCGTATGCTACCTTCTAGTCCTGTGGGAAACAACGAATTTTTACTACTTGTATTTTCAAGCCAATAAAGATCCAACAGGACAGGGTAAGTGCAATTTCTGTAACCTTTGCAAGAGAAGAACTTCATACAGTTTAGTCTCATGCATGTAAAATAAGTAACTACAGGAGTTTTACAAAAATAAGATTGCTGACAATAATAGTTATGTTTTTATTTTCTGTCTAATTTGAAACATGATACAATGTGATATCTGAAAATTGTGAACATATCCAATATCCTGACACCTTTTTTGTTTTATTCTTTTTATGTTCTTGTTATGATATCCTTTCAGCATATCTTTTCATTGTGAAATGGAAAATTGATAGAAAGATAGAATTATTGGCATCACATTACCAAGCAGTAACATGCTCATCTAATATCTTTAAGTTGTCACGTAATTTAAAGTAAAGGCAAATTGACTTGACGTGGTTTGGAAAAGTTTTGCTTGGAGTAATTGTTCATTTCAAGCTAAGTCTTTTCCGGTGCAACTTCAACATCTATTTGGTTTATTTGTTTGTCTTGATTATTAAATGGGTCAAGAGCTTCACAAAAAAAGAACCTGCTTTTGCGCAAGTAATCCATCTGAATTTGTTTGGTTTTTTAGTTTTTTAATGATTTCAGTGCTCAAAGGTCGGAGCTGATGTGGACACGCGAAGGCATCACCAGTAGTTGAGTCAGTGGAGCTCGCCTCATAAACAGGCATGTACACACTTTATTTACGTTCATTTTTATTAACCGTGTATTAAACACAGAGCAAAACGTTGAGTGACGCACGTTGACAGTGATAGTGACAGTTCAGTTATGTCGGTTATATTCTTGTATAGAAAGTTATTAAAAGCATGTGGTAACACTGACTTTCAGCATTATAACTTAACCCTTCACTATAATTTATTTAATTTCACAAGTTGCTTAAAAGTTGTTAGTTGGCTAGTAACGATTTGATTTAAGCCCGTTAGTAAGGACGCAAAACATGTAACGTTAGCTTAGCCCGCACGAATGTTACGCAGGACTGCATTTAAAAAACTCAACAATTTAACGTTTCCTTGGATATTTGTAAATCTACGTATATGCCAGACAATCATTTATATATTTTTGTCAATCATTTGAAACCACTCTTGAAGTCGGCATTGATAGAATTCACCGGAAATGGCACAGTTGACTAGAATCTTAACTTATATCAGTTCGCCATCAAATGTCATTCATTGGAGGGTATAGGCTAACTGTTTACGCTTCATAAAATGTTTAAAAAATGCTGCTTGATGATCAGTTATTAATTACAAAAATTATTTATAAAAGGTGACACGTAGAAAGGTTTTTGTTGTGTTTTATAGGCTTAACTGACTTCCTGAATCCCTAAATAGTATCTCCATGCAGGAAATATTGCACAACCTACAGCTCAGCCTTGAGGAAGCACTAGTTAAACTAATCAACAAGCTGTGATAAAGAATATAACGGAACTTATTAGCAGGGTCGCTTGATTTGAATCACGTTGTCTGCCGGTGGGCGGAGTGGGTAAGTGGGTAATGTCACGTTTTCACAGTTTATTTTGGTGTCTGTATTTATTATGTGTCTGTTGTTTTTTACGTTCAAAGTAGGGAGAATGGCAGGCCTGTGGAGATCCTACCAGGCCTTGATGACCAAATACCCCTGGAGAGTGCAGATAGTGACTGCAGGTATGACTTACACACTACATATAACCAACAACTTTCAAATTTCCTAAACTAGACCATGTGTCTAGATTGCTCTAATAAGGGCAGTCAAGATATTCTTCCAATCTCAGCTTCATCTCAGGTGACAGTGAGGTCAGAGGTGACAAAAACCTTTACTCTTGTTTACTCAGTGCACCTCAGTTTTTATGTCAACAGAGAAAAATTACTGGGTGAACTGGGTGACTAAGATTTTTTTTCCTTGCAGTGTTTTTCTGATCAGTGTCAGCACAGACACTGTTACAACAGGCTTGGTCAGAATGAACGTAAACTGGCATTAACGATGAATGAAACACCCATGATCAGTTAGTGAATTGACAGAGGTATATTACTATTTTTGAAATATTAAAGTTGCTTCTTCTCAGAATGTAAAGGTTTCATGCCTTCCACCTTGTAAAGCAACTATCGGGAGTCTGTAGACAATTTAAAGATTCTCTTAATGCACCTTGTAACTTTCAACTATTTCAACTATTTTTTTTTCCTCTATCAGTTATTTTCTCAATATTTTGTCTATAAAATGAGAGGAAAAATTGTGAAAAATATTTGCACTAATATCCCAGAGCCCAAAGTGACATCTTCACCTGTCTGTTTTGCCTGACAAGGAATCTAAAACCCAAATATATATTTACTTTACAAGCATATATAACAAGAAAAACATCCAATCCTCTCACTCTCACAGGAAACTGGAACCAGAACATGTTGGCATGATTATTCAGTTATCAAAATGGTTTCTGACTGATCATTACAGCTCTACTTTTGTTACTACCTCACTATGTTTCTTAGTTTAAATCTGTGTTTGATTAATCAGAACAGCAATAATCAATAAACTGATATTAAATATAACCTGTTTGCGGCGCCCCAGTGATCAGAAGAAACTGCAACAACAGCTTGTCGGCCTTAGATTTCAGGCTGATTCTTGACTTTTTTGGGCATGAATGTGCAGAGATCCCAGTCGTGGGGCCACAGTTTCAGATCCTCAAAATCTCGCCCAAAAACATGTTGCATATACATTTTCAATTCTCTTGTGAGTGGTATTCGCCCAATGTAGTACTGTTTAACCACCACTAGATGGAGGCAGTGCACTTCTGATGCATGATTTCAGTCAGTGATAAAGGCCGAAAATATAAGAAAATAAAACTCATATCCACGCGCAAGTAGATGGTTGATGATTAAAACAAGTAGAGCCTTAAAAAAAATGACATAATCTTAATTTTTTTAATACAACAAGACACAAGCACATCCATAAAGTCTTTTTAGGTGCTGGGAACAAATACCTGCAACTTTCTTTTTAAACATTTATACTTTCTGCCGGACCCAACCAAAATGTTCACCTATCTTGTGTATTGCAGCTTGCGGAAGACTCCATGTTTGTGTGTGAGGAGTTTTAAGAGATATTTACTTCTTTTGCCATCACGACATCGGTCAACAGACTGAAGCTCCCCATCTTTTACGTCTGCTCACTCCTCTGTGTTGGTGCTTCAGTGTCTGTGTGTGTGTGTGTGTGTGTGTGTGTGTGTGTGTGTGTGTGTGTGTGCCTGCCTAACTGCCTTTATTCGTTCTCCCATGACATTTTAAGGAAAGGTTACCTCTTGTTCAGCTGGGTCCATGTTATTACACCGTGCTGTCAGTATTAACAGTGGTATGTGGTACTGACATTATGTTAGTTTGCTGAATGGGTGTTTGATGTGTCTTTTTATGAGTTAGGACAAAAAAAATCTAAACTAAATGTCAAACCAGAAGGAGTGACGTTAACAGCTGTGGTCATATCGACTTCAAGTTCCACTAATCAATATATAATGACACACTGGCAGTGGATCAGATGGCTACAAAGGTGAGAGAGAGAATTATCACCAACTCTACAGAGCTTTTCAGCCTCCGTAAGCTCAGTGATTTAGTTTTATTTATTACATTTATTGTATCATTCAATCTCATCACTCTCACTAACCTTGTTTCCAGCAGCAGCTGTTTTCAGCCAAGATGCTCAGATAAATCCACTGAACACTAAACAACCTTAAAGTAAGTGGAACATTTAAGCAGCTGAGCCAGATATTTTCCCCAGAAGTTGGTGGAGACCAGGCCACATGATAGCCGATTGGTAACACACACATACCACGTGCCACAAATGCCCTGAGCCGCGAGTTTGAGTCCCAGCCGGCTGGACTCTACTGTATGTCATTCTGTCATCCTGCTTTTCCTGTCTCTCAATATCCTGTCAAACAAAGGAAAATATAACTTAAGAATTTGGTGGAAAAACCTCAGCTAGAAGGGGAGTGAATATTGGACTTGGCTACAAAATCGACTTCACGTGAATGATGATTTTGCTGTGTGTCTGTCTGAATGTGTAAATAATTAGCAACTTTATACAGTGATTATATATATATTATATATACAGTATATATATTATATATACAGGGTTGTGTGACTGCCAGTTCACTGTGGAGCTCTTCTCCTTTTCTTCAGTGGTCAAGAACTCAATAAGCAACCTTAAATATGTTGCCAGTGTAATGGTAACTGTGGGAAACTGCTTCAAGAAAAGCCAGTGCTTGGTGTCCTCACCAGTGTCCTTTTTTTCTATAAAACTCTACATTGAATAAGACAGAGGCTGGATATCACAACACTGTGTAGAACTTCACTTGTGTTTTTGGGGACAGTTTAATGCCTTTATTCATGAGAGTGGAGAGATGACAGGAAACAAGAAAAGGGGGAAAGATTGCTGTTGTGACTTTTAATGTAAAAGCGATCAGGCTGCTTATTCAGACACCAACATGTTATATTGACATTAAACCGACATAAAGGGGAGCACGTCTGAAGGGGACAAAGATTTGCAACAAAGGTACTAAGGCCATTGCAGTTCATGGTTTGCGTCTAAACCTCTAAGTTACAAAGGAACTTCTAACAATACTTTTGAGATGATTACCTCTATGTTGCACACAAATTGGTAGCTAAATAGCTAAATAAGCTATTTTTATTTTCTATTAATGAGATGAAAACATGATCAAATGAGGTGAGACAGAGATGAGTGTGTAGCAGAACCAGAGATAGAAACAAACTAGGTTGACCATGTGTTTTTTTTTAGTTTTTTTTTTTTTAGCTGTGTTGTATTTGTGATCATTTAGAATTTATTTAAAGCAAACTCAGCAAATTTGAGTTTATTTTGACCCCAGTTTGTTGCCGTATCTGTAGATCTTTTGCTAAAATCCCATAACAGCTATTTGTGATTAAAACAACCAACACATTCGGGGTTAGGGTTATGCTCAGTGGAATGAGACAGTGTCTGTCCCCCGTGTCCTCCAGGGTCTTTAGTGGGTGTTGGTGACGTCGTATCCCAGCAGCTGATTGAGAGACGAGGACTGGCTCAACACAATGTGCAGCGGACAGCCAAGATGATGAGCATTGGTTTCTTTTTTGTGGTAAGTAAATGTCCTTGTATTACAAGTTGCGTTGTTGTCTGTTGACATGTCGGTCTCTTGGAATAAACCACCACAGTTGTTTGAAGTCTCTGCTCACAACTGCAGAAAACACGATGATAAGGTCATTTTGAAATTTGACTGATTGATTACTCGTCTCAAACAACTGTCCAGCCTCAGTGAGTTAGCAGCCTCACGCCACATGAAATGACCAGATGTATTTGACATTTTTATGTAAAATCTTTGTAGCAAGTGCTGCCTGTTTGATGAGAGAAGAAAGATGAAAAGTACGGGGAATAAAAGAACATAATATCAAACACTTGGTGGCATCAAAGTTCATATTTTCAGCTTCCTGTAAGTGAGAAATACATGAGTTTATCATGAGGTGCTTGTATCTCTGTTCTCGTGCGCAAGTGGATTCTTCTTACTTAGAGTGTGTGTTCATGCCTTTGTATGTTTGTGAAATCACGTATTTGGCCAGCTGCACAAATCACCTTTCAAGCAGCACATTTCTTCTTTTTGATGTCACTGTGATGAAGGTTTATTTATATTTCCATAATCGCCTTATGCTCCACCAATCAGATTCTGCCTCATCTGAAATTATACAGCGAGGATGTGTAGATGTTTGATGACATGTTTACTGACAGCTGTGTGTAACTTCATTCATCTGGAAAGACGCATCTGTTTCATAGCTCATGCATCATGTATCATTTGTCTGCAAATTAATAATATATTTAGTTTGTTAGTTTACATGCGAGACCTCTGCAGCACGTTTGATTAAACATGTTGTATTTTAATTAACTTTTTAATGTTTAGTAGAAGTTTCTGTACCACTTTACAATCAGACCACCCTTATAAATGATTTATAAATGGTTTATAATTAGGTTATTAATTCAGTTGACACTTTATAAATCATCAATAAACAATTATAAACAAGTTATAACAGTTTTCATACATTGATCCAGGCTCACTATTTGGCAAGATCAAGTTAATGCTTACTAATTAATCTTACTAATGAGTTACAACCATTTATAACTGGTAAAAGGAGGCTTATTGTAAAGTGTAAAACACATCATCATTTATTAATATGCCAAACATTTTGAAAATGAAGTTGCTGATGGTGGTTAATTGCTAGTTACTTAACAGATATGTGATGAAGCAGCAGGTACAAACGCTGATGATGGAGAAAACAAAGCTCAGTAACTTATGAGATATGAGGCTTAACAGTACAGATACATGTGGGCTCACTATTTGGCAAGCAACAAGTCACGGTTGCCATTTTTATCTAATGTGTTATAACAGCTTATAAATGATTTATAAAATGTTAACAAGCTTATTAATAAACTAGTCATAAACCATTCAAAAGTCCTTTTTATAAGGGTGGTTTTATTGTAAAGTGGTATCCTGCACGGAGCCTCAGCTGCAATGTTTTTAAACCACAATTAAATTATGAAAATGTATTTATAAGGTAATGACCTCCAGGACTAATGTGTTGATTTTAATTGATTGGTTTATTTCTTAATTGTCACATCAGGGTCCGGTGATCGGGAGCTGGTACAAAGTTCTGGACAGACTGGTTGTTGGAGGAACTAAAAGTGCCGCTATGAAGAAAATGCTGATCGATCAGGTGAGAGGAGCGTCCAATCAACTGGTCGTCCTGTCTTCTACTCCTTCTTCTTCTTCTTCTTCTGATTCTTTTTCCTCTTCTGCTTCTTTTTCTACTTCGGCTTCTGCTGCTGCTGCTGCTGCTGCTGCTTGTCGTTGTCAGATCAAATGAAGTGAACTGTCAGCTGAGTGCAGGAGTCCCAACCAGAGATACAGTTTCCTCCCATCAGGCTGACAGGCAGCTCTCTGTTCATGCTGACACGAGGAAACTAATAATCTAATTCTGTCAAGTGTTTAGAACAAACAGAGCTGTACAGGTCAGCCGCTGACTCCCTTTGTTTAAACTTCATCTGACCTCCAACCCCTTTCTCTGTGTAGATGCTGAGCTGAGAGAGTCTGACCGTTCTGCCCCAAATTCATTCACTGCATCAGTTGTACTATGATATTTTTAATAGTATATAACAACTATTGTCATTACTGATTACACTTCCCTTTATTTTCTTGCTCAATAAATAATTGTTTGGCAAATAAAATATCAGAAAATAGTGAAAAATGCCCTCTGAATTTCACAGAGCGTTCATAAAGATTTGGGACAAAAGACATTTGGAAACATCATGTTGGACTCTGGGCTGCAGTGATGGACATTTTTGTTTGTTTTCTGACGTTTTATTAACTAAGAAATCTGCAGATTTATCAGCAGTGGAAATAATCATTAGTTCCAATTCTGAAAAAGACAAAGATGAGAAATAAACTGCCTGACAGAAATGTTAACTTTAGCTTAAAAGCTCACTAATTAGCGAACAAACAATTTAATCACCAAATGCATTAATGGTAAACTCATAAAATCAAATATTCATCCTAAACTGTACAAAGTGAAGAAGCAGCAGTGTAGCTCCCCTCACTCTGCCCTCTGGTGTCTGATTGTATAAAACTGCAGCAGGACAGATGCAGGTTAAACTAAAACCACCACAGGATAAGACACCAGAGCTTTCAATATCTCTCTGTAATGAAATATTTAAAGTGAAGTAAAGGGTTCACTCCTACGCTTGAATAGTTATGTGGTCCCACTGACTGTACGCTGCCCCCTGTGCCCCCGTATACATAATAAGTATAAAGTGCCATTTGGTGACTTGAAAGATTTAAGGCGAAGCAGCTGCAGCGTCCTTCCTGCGTCAGACCCGAGTAACAGAGGAGCAGCGTCTCTTCGCTGTTGTGTCAATGTAAACAAGAGAGCAGAGACCGGAGCATCCTGAAGAGATTTCCCATTTCCTCTGAGCGTCTTTTATTCTGCTTCAGTTCATGCATCAAATCTTTACTTGAGCCTCTGATGTACTAACGACGCAGTCACAACAAAAGTCCAAGAAAGAAAATCTTTTATTATATTTGGTTTATTCAGTTTAGTTTAATACATTTATTTATGAAGCACCATTATGTACAAAAAACCTTCCTCATGCAAAGAGATTCACTGTCTAATTTCCATCTGTAATCCTTAGTCAGGTGGATGCACACAGTGAACAGGAGAGTTCACATCTATTGAATTGAATTGTAGTAACTTTTCTCACTGTCAGGAGGCAGGAGGTAAAATAAATCTTAAATCTCTCAGATTATTGTCCTTTACTGTCATTTCAGTAAAATAAATCTATAATTTCTAAGTGTAACGGGTTCTCCAAACACTTAATTCAGAACACACTTTAGTAAATGTTATAAGAGAGAATGAGTTTTCACATACTAAAAAAAATAAATTGGAATTACATTTTAATTTTTTTTTTTCTTTGTCTGACATCCTGCAGACGTTTAAACTGTTCAAACTTTAAATGGTCAAAATCAGCAGCACAAATGCTTTGAACTGAGTTAACAGCACAAACTCTGAAGTTTGCATGCTATAATGTTCACATGCATCATCAACTTATTTAATAGACCAGTAGTTAATGAAGACCACTAATGAAGTAATCAGTTGTTTTTCATTTCGTTTTCATCATTTGTCCCTTTTTAGTATTTGTCCAGCTTTTCCAGTTGCCATCTCTGATCTTTCCTGATTTGTGTGTTCATAGTTGTGTTTTGCTCCGTGCTTCCTGGGAGCTTTCCTCTGTATCTCTGGAGCTCTGAACGGACTGACGGTGGAGGAAAATGTCACCAAGCTCAAGAGGGTAATTAGATTTTAATTTAATACCACGTCACACACGGTGTTACTCTCTCTGCGTTACAGTTGTTGTACAGTTTCTCCCACAGTTTGTATTTTAGCCTGCAGCTGGTCCCAGCTGTGTCCTTTCCTTCCACCAGTGCATGCTGGGAAAGGTTTCACTCCCCCTGAACTGTGCATTAAGAAGAAAATAGTCTAGCTCTGTTTTTCTTGTTTTTCTTGTTTTGTGTTGAAGTCTGGAAAATCAAATGAGTGACCGGAGTGAGTTGAACCAGGGAAAACTCGCAGACTCTGGGTCAGATTTATCTCCTGAGGTAAAGGATCAGCGTTTGACCTGATCTGTCCTCAGTCCACATTTTTTATTTATGAATGTTGCATTAAAGGCACGACACAGTCCGGACAGCAAACTGAGCTTTAAATTGCTGTAAATTAAAATGAATAACTAGAATTAAGAACAATAAAATTTCAATTTCAGACCAAAAAGCTGAAATTGAGGCTAGTTTTGTTGTGATGTGGCACTGTAGAATCATTTCCATTCACAGGGTATCTGCAACATTGATTTCAGTTTCCTCAAGAAAAGGCAGGTATTGAAAAGTCCTAAATTTCATTTACAAAGGTCTTTTTTTTCTAGTTACTTCAAACATGTATTTGTATCTGATTTTAGCAACAATGGGCTGTAAAATCTCCAGTTCTGTTGTTGCAGACATCTGATGTTATATAAAATGTGGACCTTAAATTAAATAGTTATTTAAGTAGTATTTAAGTATATTTTTTTCTTCCATCCTGATACAGGTCCAGGTTGTGTTTACTGATGATTCATGATGTTTTTAGGAATTATTGTCATAAACGGCTGAGAATTGCAAACAAATGTGACATAATTGTCAACAAATTCATGCATTTTGTAAAGAGTTGAATGCCATATTGCCCCTACTTATTTCCACTGAGAGCTTTCACACTTCAGTTGGTACAGATGTGAAACTGGTTCTAAATTAGTTTGTACTTTGTATTAAAATGTCCTGAAAAGTCTTGTCTTTAACTTGCAGAAACCCTGCATTCACCTCTCCTCTCCCTGCCTCCCTGAGAAATTCGACATCAGCCTGACCTTTATGCATGAATGCACCTTTTTTTTCAGACATTTAGTTGGTCCTGGACTTTTCTTTTTGCTGATTTAACCTGTTTTCAACCTCAACCTGTTTTTCTATATTTAGACTTGAGACGTGACAATAACTGACTTTGCACTCAAGCAAAGCACGCATAGTCAGTTCTCCAGCAGAAGAATAGTGTGTTTTCTGTGCGATCGTAGCACAGGTAAATGAGAGTACATGGAGAGGAAGTTTGGTTTTCATTGTAGGTACAGTATCTGACCTTCAACACTCACCTCTCATTATTATTAGAAACTGTTTCCTGTGATGGGGGAAGAGACACGAGGGAGAGGGAGGGACTGTGGAAATAGCTAGAGTGACTCATACTTTCATATAAGTGTGTGTGTGTGTGTGTGTGTGTGTGTGTGTGTGTGTGTGTGTGTGTGTGTGTGTGTGTGTGTGTGTGTGTGTGTGTGTGTGTATTTGTATGCCAGGTCAGAGCTAACTGTCATCTTGTGCCAACTGCTCAAACGTCCGTCACTGCTTGCTTACCCAACACACTGCTGATCATCATCAATTATTTACAAAAGGAGGTGCGGGGACCTGAAAGGCCAACCTGGTAAATGTCAGAAAGGACAGAAAATAAATGACAAATGTGCTCATTACAACGAGGTCTGGCACTGTGGAAATGTGAGAGGAAAATTAATGGAGCCACTGACCAAAGGGCCGCTCTCACCGTCAAAGACATAGTTTCGGTCAAGTCTTTGCCTCTCTCGTTTATTGGTTCCTTACCTGCACTCTACCTGAACTGGACCAGGAAGTCTGGAGCAATGTACCAGTTTTGTACAGGGTTTTGTGTGTAGTGTGTTCAAACTACAAAAGTAAGTTGGCATAAAGAATTGCCTTGATAAATCTTAAAGGAACTCTATGGAAGCTTTTTCAGTGCTACGTAGCTAATGTTAGCATTAAGAGCTGTTTACTTACCAGTCTAGAAGAGACGTTGCGAGTTCAGTATGAAACTTTATTCCTTTACTCACCAAGAGCTGTTGAAAGCAACACCAATGTTAACTCTTGTTTTGCTTCTATTCTATCACTTCTTCTCTGCTACTGAGGTTAGCATGCTAACCAGCTAGCTCCAGTCCAGTTGGGCTGTCTTGTCATTTTGCGATACTGAGTCGCTGTTGTGTTCAATCTGCCCTGAAGAAGTAGTGCTGCTCTGAGGGCGTATCCTAACCTCGTGTATTGTAAACATAAAAATGGCTGAAGCTCTTGGCAAGACTTGTGAGTAAACACCTGTTAATGCTAAAGTTAGCTATGTAGCAATAGCAAAACAAATACAAATAGCTCCTTTAAAATTGATTTCAAAATTGTGATGGAAATTCAGTCCTGCAGTTTGAATTTGCAGTGTCGGAACTTGGCATTTCACTTATTTTTGACGTTTAGTAAACATAACAATCATTGAGAAAGTAAATGGGTTAGGTGCAGCCGTAGAACTCACTACATACTCTACATCTGCTCAGGGTGTAGTGGACGTAGTCAGGATGGTCGAGACATTGGTTTGGTCCCACAAAGAAAATTAAATAATTAAAATAAACTAGATCACGGTGAGGCAGCTGTAGAAAAACAAAAAATAAATCATTCAAACTTTTTAATTGGCAGCAGTTTGAGTCTATTGTCACGTCTTGTTTCATTTTCTGTAATTATAACACACTGAAGTGCATTTCTTTATACATGTTTATACGTACTATATTAATATAGTATCTGATTAATTATATAGTCATTGTGAAAAGCAGCTTAGAAACCCCTGGCAAAGGTGAGAAAGGTCTTGTTTTCTCCAGCGTGTGGGAGGAAAGATTTTGACGCAGTAATTTCACCTCAGGTGGCCAAGTAGCTTGTTTGTCCATAATTAGAAAAAAAATCAACCAGGAAAAAGATTGTTACCGGAACATTGGGTAGTTGTTTTTATATGTCGAGACATGTTGAGGTGACCTTTTAAGATACACAGTGAAGGTGTGTGTCTGTGTGTGCATGTGTGTGTGTGCGTGTCTGTGTGTCTGTGTGTGTTCAGACCCCAAGCCCAGAGAAAACACAGCTATAAAACTGTCTTTAAAAGGGATTTAGAAGAGGCTAAAGAGCTCGTCGATCTAATCTCCTCTGAGGTTGTTCCAGAGAGCGGGGGCCCGAACAGAGAAGGCAATGTCACCCTTAGTCCTCAGCCGAGATTGTGGAGTGGCTAATAGAGCTTTGGCTGAGGACCTCAGGTTGTGACAGGGCACACAAGGTGTCAGTCTGAGATGTACTCAGGTGCACGTCCAGAGGTGAGTCCTAAAAGTCATCAATAAAATCTTAAAATCAATTCTAAAATTTACTGGAAGTAAAAGAAGAGACACTAGAATAGGAGTAATACACTCTCTTTTTTTGGTTTTGGAAAGAAGTCTGGCTGCTACCTTTTTTTCTTTTTTTTTTTAAATTAAGTTTAAAGGATGACCTCATTGAGTCTTCTCACCTTCAGTCCCTGTCTGAAACTACTGTAGATTTAAAGAGGTACTTGACAGCAGGTGTACAGTAGGTTTTAGGATGGATCAGCTGGGTTTGAATGTTTCAGCACCATGGACAGTTACAGAGGGATTGTCTCACACCATCTGAAACCTCCTCCCCTCAAGCTTCGGTGACTTCAGTTTTGGAGTCTGTGTCCGACCATCTCTGTAACTTTCTGACACTCACACCAACAGGAAATGTTTCTGTCCCACAGTACAAGATGACTATACTCCATTTAATACTCCTGCTACCAGTTACTTGGCCAGCTGCTGAGATCTTGGCTTCCTAACCCCATTTCAACCCTGTATTGTCTCTCCACCAACTGCAGTTTGAACACATCACCATCTCTCACTTCATCCCCCACGGGCATATTCGACTGCTCTGTGGTGGAAAAGGTTGGAGGCTGAACCTGATCCCTGAGTAGGATGAACAGAACAGATGTTAGATATGGAAACAAACTCTGTCAGCAGCATGTGACACAAAGTGTTAGTATCATTCTCTACAAACTCAGCCAGGTGTCAGCCCATTATGTCTACTGAGACCCTCAACAGTGAAATGTTAAGGTATTACTGGCCAGATTTCACTTTAAATACAGAAACAAAGGATTTCTTTTCCAGCTTTATCCAATTTCGATCTTTCGAACCAAGACGTGTTTTGCATTTTTTAGATCTTCACGAGACAAGGAGACTGTGTTCACACAGTATTTTACTCTTTTTAAATCCAATTTGTGTCTTTTAATATCCTTGACTTGTTTCTTTTCTTATTGCCTTTAATGTCTCTTTTAAAACACTTGTTGAAATGTGACTTATTCAACACTCATTGATGCCAATACAATAACTTTATTCACTTTGTACACAGGACTACACAGATGCCCTGATCGCAAATTACTACGTAAGTTTTCTTTGTATGGTTTTCCATTTTATTTATATATGCTTGGAAAGTAAATGTGTTGTTTTTTCCAAATGAATCTTTTCCTCATATTGTCGTCACATGACTGAACTGTCCGCTGAACGTTTTTCTGCTTGTGTTTCAGCTTTGGCCTCCAGTCCAGATCGCCAACTTCTACTTCATTCCACTTCACCACAGGTACATCTCTGGATTTATTAACACACAAAAGCCACAATGATCACATGTAAAGGTTTGGGTCAAGTGCGAAGAATGAGAATCTCATCTTTTTTTTAATGCAGCTAAAAATCTATTAAAACCCGAAAGCCAGTTACAGAGGGCTTAATATTTTGGGTTTTCTTGATACATGTTTGTTCTAAATCTAAAATTAGTCCACACATAGGAACTAGAACTATAACTGTATTTAACAACCTTTAACTCCTCTTAATGAAATCAGTTGAAACCCTGTTGAAATGCATGTCTCCTCCTGCTCGTAGGTTGGCCGTCGTTCAGATCGTTGCTGTTGCCTGGAACTCCTACCTGACCTGGAAGGCCAATAAGATGTGAAGGATGATCACGTGTCCTGTTCTGTTGTTGTTTATGATGATGATTTTTGTGCGTGCGTGCGTGCGTGCGTGCGTGTCTGTCTCATGGGTCGTTCTGGTTGAACTTAAGGCTACTTCATCGTCTGATATTTCCAACGTGTAAAACTGAGACTGAGTCACTGATGAAGGTCAGGAGAAAGTGCTCGTCTACTCTGAATGACAAATTCACACTTGAAAGTCAAACTTGCATTTGCAGAAATGTCTGTGAAAGTTTGTTATTTATGGAAATGGGATTTGGCAGTGATGCAGCCACACACACACACACACACACTCACACACACACACACACACTCTCACACTCACACACAATAACACTGACTGGTTGAAAGGAAACTTGTATTCTCTTTACTCTGTCTTTAATCACTTGAAGTAATTGGGATAGTTTGGATAGTCAATAGCATCATGTTTTGTTTTATGATGAAGGAAAATTGATCAGTGATTTTCTGTAGCTATGTCCAAGAATTTCTAATAATGTTTTATAGTTTACACATTGTTTACCCACTTTCTCTGCATTTGACTCAACTGTAATTTTGCTTCAGTTACTGCTTTCTAACATTTCCCAAAATACCTCCAACATTTTTTTTATTTCTGTTTTCATACCCCCATCTCCACTTGTTTTGTCTTTGGTACTGACATAATGACAACCTGACACTAAAGGTACAGTCCAACATTTTTGAAAATCTACTTATTCATTTTCCTGCTGAAAGTTAGAAGATACCGCTCTCATGTCTGAATGGTAAATATAAGGCTACAGCCAGAAGCCGGTTAGCTTAGTTTAGCTTAGCATAAAGAGTGGGGGGAAAAAGGGGGTGAGGGGACCAGCTAGCTAGAAACACCATCACCTCCAAAGCTCAACAGGGCTGTTGCTTCCTATAGGGAACAAACATGAGTGGTATCGATCTTCTCATCTAAGGAAGAAAATAGATTTCCCAAAATGTAAAATGACTCAAGTGTTTTTGAATTATTATCTGTAGCTGCTTAAACTTCATCACCAAACAACAAAATAAATCCAGGAATCCATTAGTGCACTGACAATCCCTGTTGAAGTGTGGATGCTCCTGCACCGTGTACCTTTTTGATAACAAAAAAATTATAGAGTTCCACATGAGGTGGTGTCAATGGCGTGTTTGACCTCACTAACTTTTGTAGCCAACTTAGCTTTGGACGGGTGGGGTTTGTTTGGAGAGAGATGTGGAGGCTGCTGAGCTGGGCTGTCAACCAAATTAACTGCACACATTTTTTTTTTCCCCACACAAACACACTTGGGCTATATCAGGGAAAAGCAAGCGGAAACGTCTGACGAATCCACTGAAGATCCGCCAAATAGCCTCTTTCCCCCTGGGGGATGTGATGATATGAGCCTCTCCCCAGAAAGCTGGAATTCAGTTTTTGATTCAGCACCCGAGGCTCACTGTGTTGTAATGTAAGCCAAGGTAATTAAAAGGAGATGCACTTAACTGGCTTGTAAAGGCTCTAACCTGAACATGAAGCATGATGCAGCTGACATCAGTGTTTTACATGTTCAGTGTTCAGGTGGGGGTCATTACAGACAGACTCTAAACTTAGTGGGTTTAAATGATCTTTCTGAACGTTTTTGGTGAGAATCTGTTTGTGCTGATGTATTGTTTTCCAATGTGTACGTGCTAATATGCAAACTGTTTTTTTAAAAAGTCATAAATGTTCGTTTTTTTCCCTCTGAAATGTGTCAGTGGAGTGAAGCCATTATTAAATGCTGTATTTTTCATTTGCATTGAAAGATAATTATTTTTTCTTTATCTAATACAAACAACAATAGAATCATTTTCACTAACTGTGTCTGGTCGTACATGTACAGTAAATGCAATAATAACCAAATCTTTGAAACAAGATGGCAAGTTCATGTTAGTGAATGGGTATTTTCCTGAGTCCTTAGTGACATTGGTAACTGAGGTTCAAAGTGAGAAATGGTTTATTCCACTGATTTCCAACCTTTTCTGGCTTATGATCCTCATAAAAAGAAGCAGTGTCCATTAGCGACCCGTCAGTGTCTACAGGTTGTGAACATTTCAACCAAAGACTCAATTTCCCAGTTTCATCTCAATCATTTAGATAGTAAAATAATTCAGTAATTTACTACACTACATTACTCTGGGGCGGCCTGGTCAAAAATGCATAGAAAATGAACACTGGCTTATTGTGTTTTACCTCCTGTATAACTTTAGAGCTCCAGTTCCTGTAAAAGCCTCCTTTAATTCTTCATTTTCTGCTTTGATTTCAACTCAGCAAAAGTAGAATATCCTTATTTCTGGACAAATCTTATCAAATCTTTTCATGTCTCAGACTCAAGTTTCCTCACATTAAGCTGAAGAGGAGATTCAGTTCAATTTAAAACCATTAAAAATCCAAATACTTTGTCTGTTGAGGGGAAATGTGATCGAATCAAGACTGCAAACACAAATACAAACAAATCATTCACAAGCATAAAAAAATAATAGAATACAACTTTGATCATGTAGGAAAAGAACGGGAACACAGTGGCCAATCCATAGCCTGCCAGCGCCATCAGAGCTCAATAATGTTTAACTGATGAGCCCTTCAAACCTCCTTGAAAGAACCCATGGAACTTTGTCAAGGAATCCCCAACTGGCCCCTGTTTCTTCAACCCCCCCCCCGGGAGAATCCCCCCCGCAATGGATGGATGGATGGATGGATGGATGGGAAATAAACCTGAAGAAAAATAAACCGCCACCATTTACTTTCTGTCCATCAGAGCTTCCTCAGCTGTCCCCTCGGGGACTCTATTGCCTTTGCGTCTCGATAGCTGTCCACTTTCCAAACCGGTCTCTGTGCCCGCATTGACGTCAAAGGAGCAGGCTGGATGTATAAAACCCTGCGTCCTCTCCCGTCTCCGCTCACAGGGACTTTTCAGACTCCGCTCCGACCTGAAACCTCACCACCAAAGTTCAGCTGCAGCATCTGGAGAGAAGAAAGTGAGTAAGCGCACTTTGGTTAAGTGTCAGTAAAGTTTGGCTGAATTGGACGTGTCCGTGCGAGCTGCGAACATGGATGGCACCATCCTGTGACTTTTGGATAGCCTCAATTTTTTTGTCTGCTCTTTGTGCATCAGATTAAACTCAGCTATTATAGATTATACTTTTCTTTGTTGCGCTTTTTAGTTTAGTTTAACTTCATTTTTCCCGCAGGAAAGTGATCTATGTGATGAGATAATATAAAGTTTAAACTTAAAAAATGACATTTCATCCCTAGTACCAGAATTAGTGGCTGTTAATGGTAAAAATCGTGTTAGGAAAAGTCATTATTTTCTTTTTTCTCGACTGTATTAACTATAATTAATAATATAACTTTACTTCTAAGACTCATATCAGTGAAGCAGTTTGATAAATGTCACTACATCTCATTGTAACTGTATAATGAGCTGTCTGAATGTCATGTTAATGGCTTCCCCCGGTTGCAGGACATGAAGCCAGTCCCCCTGCTCCTGCTCCTCTCCTCGGTCCTCCTCTCATCACACCTCCGCCCCGCCGCCGGCAGACCGCGCGTCCTCCCCGGCTGGCTGGATGGCAGCGGCGGCCGCCTCCAGACGCAGCGACTGGACGAAGTGCTCCTCAGAGCGGCCGCCGCCGGGGACAGCACCGCCTCGGATCTACTGGGCGACAGCATCCTGAGGTTTCTGCAGAGGAGGAACGAGGACCGTCTCCACCTGCTGCCTGCAGAGGAGGAGAGCGAGGACGAGGCGGTGAGGACGGCGGCGGCGCAGCTGCTGAAACGGAGCGAGGAGCCGCCGCTGTCCATCGACCTGACCTTCCACCTGCTGAGGAATATGATCCAGATGGCCAAGATGGAGAGCCAGAGGGAGCAGGCTCAGCTCAACCGCAAAGTGCTCGACGAGGTCGGGAAGTAAAAGCTCTGTTTTGTTAGAAGAAAAAAAAAAAGAAGAAGAAAAAAAAAAGCCTCATTAAAACAGCCCAGCCGCTGTCTCAGTATCCAAGACCTCTGACATGAGTTTTTGTTTGTGCGCCTGCCTTCCGCTCCATATCATTTCACGCACAGATGGTGCCAAATTACGCACTACAGCATACCCGAGTCAGTGTAAATCCTTACGTTTCATTTAAAGACTTTGTTGGAAAATATGGAAACGGATTTCTCATCCGCCACTATCCTCCGGCCTCACCCCTTCCCCTCACCCTTCAAACACACCATCCCCTCAGCACTGGACTGTTGGTGGAAACTGTCGGCCTTCACTGGATTTGTCTCATTTTCACGTTTAGGTTTATTGGACATTTTGAGTTGATAATCAACAATTTTTATTTTTTTTAATCATTTGTACAAACAATCAACAATCAATTACACAATAAGTTACCTCACTGGTCCACGTGACAAGTCATTTGCATATTTGAATCAAGTGCTCAGTTAAATTATGGTTTGACTTTTGCTTACTTTCTTATTCTGACTCAGAGCCTGTCTCTCCTCAGTGGACTGGGTGACTCTGGTGTTAATGTTGTTGATTTAGCAGATTTTAATTATTATTAATTCATGATATTTTATCCTTTCCTGGCCTCAGCAACCAAATAACTCAGAATAATGACAGGTGCATTGTGGACTGGTGCTCTCATTAGAGCCAGTTTCACACAATATCTTAAGATGATCAGTTTTGTTCAGACACATTTTTACTAATGTGATGATGAATTAAGACGAAACTGACCAAAATAAAAGATCCATTCTTTATTAAACTTACATTATACTGATGCTATAAATTGACATCAATGGATCCCACAGTAATTCCCTATAGATTCAGAATAAAAGATGATCAGTTCTGATTATCAAACTATAAGAGTTTGTTAGAGCACAGATGTTGTGAGCACAGAGCTGCAGGATTCTTGATGATTCAACCCTAAAGTCAAGTTTCTGCTACTGAGGAGAACTAGAAAAAACACTCGTTAAGAATAACAAAGGCACTTGTTCAGTTTAAGTGGCTCCAGCCACTGTTGGACCAAGACGTCAGGACACTGAAATCTTCAAAAAAAAAACCCATTTGTGACTTTGTTTTAAATCCACTTGTAAGACAGACTAGATTCACTTCAGACCAGAGCTGAGGCTGAAGGAAAACACTTCATGTTCACTCTCTCACCTTTCCTGTCGTCCTCTGTTTTTTTTTTTTTTTTTGAGCGGGAGCACTATCACCTGTACTGTATCAACTGTAGCATGCTAACCTTCAAACAAAAGAACAACAAAAAAAAAGCTTTATTTTACTGTAAACTTTAATGTCTGACTCTGATCACCTTGTCTTTCTTTTAGCAAATGAAAAAACTGCTTTTTTTGCCATTTATATTTTTTAATAAAAAAAAGTTTAAAGTAAAAAACAACCACTGCTTTTGATTCTGTTATAAATGTGTGTTAATACATTATAAAATACAACTATTTGTCACTGCTGTTTGGTTTAAGTGTCATCCAGAGTTCTTCTACTTGTTATAAGATCCTAAACACTGAAAATGAAGGAGCAGTTTCTGTCCATTTTCTTTAAAACCTACTGAAGACTTTATTGAAATTTAGTTTGTATTGACCTTATGTTGGAATGCGGAAATAAATAGTTGATCGAACATCCGGTTTCCATGCCGCACTTCCCCTTGATCGCTAACTAACGTTAGCTTAACCGTTATATCTAACAATGTTGTGGGAGTGCTTCCAAAATAAAATATCAATAAGAAATCTAAATGGTAGGTTTCTGCCACATCATGACAACTGCACAGGGGGTGGACTTTTATATGACGTACCTGTTGGAATTTTATTCAGGCTTAAAGTTCTGTATAAATGAGGGCGTGGCCTCTTTGAGTGACAGGTGGGTGAGCATATTCTTGCTACAAGCCGACATGCACCAAAGTCTCGGCTCCACACACGCCCCCCCCCCCCCCTCCGCGCCCCCCCCCCCCCCCCCCCCCCCCCCCCCCCCTTTGTCCATTCTTGCATTAGCAGGGAGTTAGCAGGAGTGACAAGATGACGACGACAGAATAGCACACTTTGAGCTTCCAAACCGCTCTTCAGAAACCTGTGGGTGACGTCCATCTTTATTTACAGTCTATGAGGTGGATGGATCTTCATGCCCCCCAGAGGATGATCCCTCTACCCCCACCATCACTTGACCAACAAGGTATGACAATGTATCTTAAACAAATGGTTGAATTCTCAGAAAATCTGATTATTGCAACCATCAGGTCAAATTTCCCACATCTACTCAGTTTCCCGAGCAGATGGTTTCAGACACTGACAGTATTCATGCTCCCACACTGGGTCAGTTTTTTGATTTTAGTAGGTCAGTGTAAAACCAAAACAAGGCAGAAATGTTTGGGCAGCTTTTTTTACTGTATCCTTAAATCTCCAACTTCATTCAGCCCAGAAATCCAGAAGATATGTGAGCTGGTTTTCCTGTCCTGTTGACTAAATCCAGTCCTGCTAAAACCAACACTTGGCTGAGAGTTCCTTCATTTCTTAACTGTTTTGCATGTGATGCAGCCTGAACTGCTTTATTAGACTAATTGATGAACTATAGACTATTGATGGAAATGTATCAGCTGCAGTGACACTTAGTTCAGAGCTTGTTGAATTTTAACAGATGAATGGAAATGTTTTTGAGGATCAGAGCAGACTTGAGGGAAGTGGCCGTTAACAGTGTCTTGTGCAAGTGGAAACAGATCAGAGAAAAGAAGCAATGACAGAAGTCGAAATGACCTCTGGCTCTGGGCTCTTTGTTTCTATGACTCCAAATTCTTCTGCCTTATCATCCTCTGTTTGTGTCTGTGTGTTGGTTCCTCTCCCTCATTGTTCCACTTTGCATCACAACATCTGAAAAACTCACAACAAGAGCAGAGAGAAGAAAGATCAAAAGATATAATCTGATGCAAAGTGATGTAACAGTAACACTTCGTGGCAGAGATTATCCACATTTAGAAAAAAAAGTCAAATCTGTAAAATTACAGTTTTTCATGAATGAAGATAACTAGCGTAATGTAGAGACTGACATTCGTGTTCACTGGATTTTTAACCCAGAATATAAAAGACCTCACCACAGAGCGCCATGTCGTCCTTCTATTCAAGAAACAGCACAAAAAAAAAATCACTGTCGGAACAAGTTTATTCAAGATCTGAAGATTTAAATTAAAAAATAATGAAAAGTTTAATTTAAAATCAAATAATTCCAATGTAATTAATTCAAATTGAAGTGGCTTTAATGTATTTTATGTTACATTTTTTTGTTTTGTTATTTAGATATGCAACTCTGCTGCCACATTCACAATAAACACCCTGCTGTACGTTTCTATACTCACTTTTTCTGCTTAGCTTTTATATATAATTATTTAAATACAGCAAATTTATTGTCATCATAATAAACTTAGCATTTTTCAAAAGTTACAAAGTTTCTTCACAGGAACAAAACATGCAACCACTGGCAAAACATCCATAAGAAAACAAAAGTAATATGTAATTAATGCAGTAAGTGTATTAAAAGAAAAAAAAACATTGTATAGGAATTAAAACCGTATTGTGACTATGTGATATAAGCCTTTCTTATAGCTAAATGTTTTTTAAAAAGTATAAGAAGTTACAAAATGTTTGTGTCTTTTCATAGTTGGAAAAGTGTCCCAGAGTCTAAGGGCCCGTCACCACGAAAACCAAAACCCAAAAATCCCTAGAAACAACCATCAGGGTCGATGAGGGGTAAACAGATCAATAATACATTTTGGAGCAAAGCCTAAAAAGTTTAAAGTACATTCTTTAAAAAAAAAAAAAAAAAATCAATATACTGGCTTTTACAGGAGAAACATGATCATTTGTCTCTTTGTCTTGTGTCTGTGATGATTCATTCTGACCTAATTGGAGCCGGTGAGCGGAGCCCTGACTGATACCAGTGTCAGAAATAGTCCAGGGGACAAAAATAAAAACTTCTCTCTGTGAACCAACAGATCACGTTTAATACAACTGCCCCCCCCCCTCCCACAGACACCCCCACACCCACCACATGCTCTAACATCCTCCACCTCTCTGAAGAGCTTTCATCCATCATGACTGTGACTTTCCTCCCCATGAAAATGATAACATGAGCCGTTTGTTCAAATGCTTAAACGACCTGTTTAAGTTGTTGCTCCAACTGAGAGTTTATTGTCACGTTCGTGAGCATCATCTTCCTCTAACCTTAAAGAAAAAGGCAGCTGTTATTCTATATTTTTTTATTGTCAACAAACAAATGTAAAACTTACAAATATGTTTCAATTTTTAGCTCAGTAATGTCTGCAAACAGCTGGGCGATGTAGTTTTTAGCAGATTTTACTCAAACAAGAGGAAACAGTACATTTGTTATTTGTTGGGGACTATTTTCAGTGGCGGATTAATGTACATTCAGTGCACTAGTGAGTATTTACAGCAGCAAGATAAAAATAATCTACAGCGACTTGATCTTGCCAAATAATCAGCCTGCATCAGTGTATGAAAAATTTGTTATAACTTGTTTATTCATGATTTATAAAGTGTTGCCAACTGAATTAATAACCTAATTATAAACCATTTCTAAATCCTTTATAAGGCTAGTCTTATTGTAAAGTGGTATTAAACAACTTGGTTAGTTTTTTAGGGAAAGATCAAGGTTTGTGTTGAAACGAGTCTGTCGACTGTCCGTCACCTGACCTCCTACACGTCACAATAACGTCCCCTAACTCGTGACTTTGCTCCCGTCCTGTGGGCTTTGTCACGTGACCGTAAACGCGTTATTTTTGGGGCACCAGCTCAAACGGCCGCTTCTGACGTTTTTCTTTTGTTTTTGGAAGGTGTGTTTCACGCTCACACACACAAGAACCCAAAATCCACCACATGCTCTTTCAGCAACCCAAGTCATTTACAATACTACCTACAATAATAAGCTTATCTGCCCACTCTTTAATTTTTACATCCTGCTCACTGCTATTGTCACGCTCCTGTATTTCTGCATTTTAAAAAAGGACAATTCTGCTCCTCTATGTGTAAAAATTAAACACTTTGCCACATATATAGTCAAAATCATTCATTGCTCTGACCTCAGTTCTGCTAACTCGCCTCACCCTTTTTATCTTATCGACTTTAATCCTCACTGGTTTGTTTTTTTATTTACATAACATCTTAGATGAGTTACAAAATGCAAAAACTGTAGTCTTTACAGAAGCCATTAGAAATCTATATAAGGGCTTTAAATCCTGAAGAAAAAGACACCCAAGCAAAATCTTTTTACTTTCCCTCCCACAACACAGAATGCAGTGTTAAATCCACTATACATTTCCTGTGAGATGTACATAGGGAGATATATTTACACACAATACACTGGCTTCTTTTATAGTGAACAAAAAGGAACAATGTGGGAGGAAAAAAGAAAATGTGGCCGAGTCAGTGTTCCTGCATCTGTGCTGCTGCAGTGAGAAACTGATAATGTACAGAAATGTATGATTTCTGACCATTTAGTGTGTTTTCATGTTGTCTTTGTTGTTGTTTCATGTCCAAGTCATGTGGCAGTGAGATCCCTCCTGAAACACTGTGCGGATTTCTTACGGAGGATTATGATAAACCTCTGTTTCCGTCTCTCTTTTACATTTCCTCAGGACTGCAGCAGGGACCTCGAGCAAAGAACAAAAGACAAATATCATGAGATCAGTGTCACCATCCCACGCCTTCACCAATCACCAGTGACTCTCCAACTGGTCGGCCTAATGTCCCTGCACGGAGGAGGAGGAGGATGCTGCTGCTGCTGTTGCTGTTGTTGCTTTTTGACTGAGTCAGCACGAACACACTGATGCCGTCCCCTCTTCCTGAGTGGATGAAGGGGAACCCTTCGCTCTCTCTGCAGCTCACTTTACGTAAGTGGTCTTGTTAGAGATGATTTCACACATCCCCTCTGTACGACACACGCTGCAGATTCCCAAATATTACAATTCATTAACAGACCGACAAGAACGTCTAAAAACAGGCTCTGACACAGAGAAACTTCAAATGTCTGCAAGATTTAAACGCTTTAAATATGTAGCTTTTTATATCATGTGCATGCTTACACTTATTTAGATGCTATTTGCACCCAGGTGTCTGTAGCTAACAATGCTATCTGCACCCGAGGTGGATAGCCAATGTGACTATTTACACCTGGCTGTAGGCTTTATACCATGGCAGAAACAAACACCCAGGTGTCTGTAGCCAACAATGTTATTTGCACCCGGGGTGGTTAGCTAATTTGGCTATTTACACCCAGGTTTTAGGCTTCAGTAGGCTACTTCAATGAGTCACATGGCAAAAAGTTGTGGTGGAAAGGATTTCTAACATTTGGTAACGTTACGTTACGGTAAACCAAACTGTGACTGAAAACATTGGTCCTACTAAAGCTTTAGAATATATTGTTTAATTTGCATAAAAGACTCAGTAAGTTTCTCAAACAGCTGGACACTGTAGTTCTTAACAAAATGGACTATTTTCAGCTATGGATTAATACACATCTGCTCTATAGCGAGTATTAATGTTTGTAAAAAGGATTAATGACACAGGTGGCAGTTTATTAGGAACAAATAGCTCAAACTAATGCAGTGTAAGACAACAGTGCTGCAATAAATCCCTACTTCATGAAGACTGAATGTTCGGTTCAGAACTGAGAGCCACACATTCAAAATGAAACTCCAGCTTGAAGTTTAAACTTGCTAAACTTTTTCTGTCCTTCTTGTCTTTTGTCTGTAGCAGCAGCAGATCGTTAGCAGCCAGTTTATCAGACTGCTAATCAGCCTGATGACCTACAGCTGTGGCTGCTGCCTGAATATTCCACCACTTAAATCACCTGTGTATATAAAGCAGTCCAGTGCAACAGCATCACTAACACCTCACTGCTAAAACATATAATTGAATTGAAACAGTGACAAAAACAGAACATTACAGGAATCCTAAAAGTCAACATTACAGTTGTATTGGATTGCATTCGATTGTACAGGTGTTCTTGATGAAGTTTAATTAGTTTCATAAATTCTATTATTTCAGTGAAAGAAATTAGGTGATGCTAAATTGAATTTAGGTGAATTTACACATATCATCATATTTAGAGTAAAACCGATAAAAAACTTTAGTGCATACTGTAATTTGCTCATATATATTTTATTTATTTATTTTTCATATTGTTATGAGCGGATACAAAAAGCTCCATGACATACGTTTCCAGCTTTCTTTCAGCAACATGAGGAAAAGTTTGATTTCAATTTGTTGTAACTGGTGTCTCTATTAAGGATGGTGTTTTGGGTCGGATGTGAATGGTGTCCATGACAACAGAAAACTCCGCCTGTTGATGAAGACTGTGAGATGCACTTGAATTCACCTGAAAAATTAAGTGATTTTAAGATATTTTTTGTGTGAAAATTGCAGATTTGAATGTGGCCGAGTGCAGTGTGAACTCTGTGTAAGCTCTATAACTCAGGACTAAATCAACAATTATATCTTCGCATGTTGGTCCCTGAAACTAAATATCATAAAATAGGCTCTGTAGTCAAATTTTTGTTTTTTGTTAGAGACAAAAGATTGAAGAGTACAGAGAGTAACTGCTTGACTGAGCACTGGGAGCTGAATAACTAATGTGAAGAGTCGAACACTTCCTAAACCAAAATCAAACAAACCACAAAGCCTTGGCCAAGAAAAAACCCTGATCAATTCATCACTACAGGTCAACATGGTGATCCAGAACAGAAACAAACACCTTGTATCCCCATTCTATTAGTCTCTCAGAGAATCTCAAATCGTTTCTACTCAGATTTTTAACTTTTAATCATTCAAAACTAAACAGCTACCTCTGTTCTGGTCTTAATATCTGCTGCCAAAGTCCAGCTCTGACTCCCCTCCCACTTCTTCAGGATCCTTTTCTCCGTCATCTCCCACACCTGAAAACACACACACACACAAACAAGGAAACCTGTTTAACCATATCCACTAACCTGCCTAACCCCATCCATAACATCTAACAGCTTACCTTGTGAGGACCTAATTCTGTCCCCAAACGGTCCCCACGATGTGATTAATACCAGAACACACACACACTTATCTACGCAGTAAACTGTGTTTAATCCTCCTGGAGGTCTTTGTGTGGCTGAGATGTTCATTCAGGATGAAACTTTTTATTTACTCCTAATACTGTATATTTAAACATGTTTTATACTTTTAGCAGAGCTAGCTGTTATGCCTGATGTTTTTTAATGTTCCACTTTTTCCATACTATATATACAACTCATAGAAATCAAAACATCAAAAAATAACTAAATACAGAGGCAGGAAGTCAGTATGAATGTCTGTTACACCACTTCATCAGAAGGAGGGAAGTTTGGCTACAAATAATAATTACACCCATAATCAACCAATCCATCCATCACCTTCTTAACTAAGCGGTTAATCAACTAGTCAAAAATAATAACGAGTTCCCGTCTGTCAGTGTAAAACTTCTGAGAAGCGATCGATGATGTTAATGTTTCATATATTTCAAACTTGACTGTACGTACCCGAGCAGAAGTCCATGTTCCTCAACATGTCAGCAAGGTCGTCAGTATCGATGACGAAGTGGCTCATGCTCTGATAACTGAGCTCTGGACGCTCCATGTCAGAGGCGCCTGCTGTCACCGCCATCCTGTCAAAGACATCAACAACAACACACAGCAGACACAGGCTCCAAAATAAGACTCCACTGTTGAAGTTTGCATCCTTTTATTTTATCGAATTTATTTTATCAGGCACTTAAAATATTAATCTCATACAGAAAGAAGGGATGCTTGATTTGTATCTGAATTCTGGAGATTTGAACGTGTCTGTTTATTTAATATTTTAGGTTTTTAAAAGCCAGTCCTGAGAGCAACTGAATGAGCCTTGATTTAAAAAGAAAGTTTGTGACAACATTTAATTTCAATACATACAAATTTAAAATCACACATTTACAGAACCTGAATTCAAAGCACAAAATGAAGGTTAACCTTGCTGTGACACCGCAAATAACAAACCAGGTTTAGTTCAACTGTGTTTGGGAGCTGAAGAATCAGCTTTTCCAAAGTTGAAATTAAAAATGAATTATTGCACCTATGCAGTACGTGGTCAGTCAGTATCACTTTTTGAGAGCTGATACTAATCAATATATTTTAGATATTTTTCTCTGAAATGAATCACCTGTTTGTTAGTCCTTCAAACATAATTTAGACCATGCAACACATTAAATATTGTGACACATCCTGTGTGCTGTCAGTAAATTCGGTGATAAATATTTAATCAGACAAACACTGGCTCGATCCATCAGCAAACCAAACACACACAGATCTCTGCTTGTTCCCGTGTGGCCGCTCGGTGACGCCGGCCTTCACAGCAGATTGGTTTGGTTTTTTTCAATCTCTTGGCAACAAGTGGATCACCCTCCACATAATGTATACAGAATGAATAGATGTCTCACAGAGAGCTGGGGACCGATACACACTACTACAGTCTGATGTGACGCTAACTGACCAGAGGTTACAACTGAATTATAGGAATGAGTTATTATTTTGGTTCAGTACAGATTTTTTTCATCTGTCCATGTTTAATTTATTTCCAGTCTAATATTTAATTTTTTGATACATTTTCTGAGGATTTCTGAATGGAATTTAGGTTTTCTTCAAAACTTTACAAAATCATGAATAAGCACACTTTATCACTTTTCTCCCTATCAAGTATTTCCATACTTAATCTTAATCTAAATCCCAGTAGTGGAAGAATCACTCAGATAATATACTTAAGTAAAAGTACACAAGTATTTTATTATCAGCAAATTATACTTATGCATCAAAAGTGAAAGTGCAGAGCAGTGAAAAGGCCCCTGTGACATCATTCTACATGACATTATTAGATTGTTAATACTGATGTAACAACAGGGCAGCAGTGTTTTACTGTTGTCTTTGTTTTAGTTTATAAATACTTAGGTAGTTTAGTTCAGTGGTTCCCAACCCGGGATAAATCATAAGATGATTAATGGGAGACGGGAAAAAATCATGTTTAATTTCAAGTTCAATGTTTAATTTTTAGACTGTTCTCTAGCTTTTGCTTTTTTGTGACATATTACATAATAGTTGTTATTTATATGAAATCATCAGAACCACCAGCCAGAGTGGTTAATCTCTTATAATCCAATCATGTTTTTTTTTTAATTCTTAAAATAAAGAATAAATTCATTTCCTGGCCACATCCAACTGGTAGGAGACCCCGGGGGTAGACCTAGAACACGCTGAAGAGACTACATATGTCAGCTGGTCTGGGAACACCTCGGGATCCCCCAGGAGGAGCTAGAAAAGGTTCCTGGGGAGAGGGACCTCTGGACTACCTCGCCTCACCTACTGCCACCTCGACAGATAAGCAGCAGAAAATGGATTTATACACATCTGTTGCTCTAGTTGTGGATGAATAAGATAGATTAGGCTTTAAATACATGGGAAATACCTGTTCGGGAGATCAATTCATCATTGATTTTGCTTTTTTTCTTCACAACAAGAAAATATAGAATATTTCAGTCTTATGCTTTTAAAGTATCAGAAGTACGGGGGTTATTCCTGTTGCTGTCAAGTGTAAACACCATTTTACTGTTATAGCTGGTTGAGGTGGAGCTCATTTTGGCTGCTGTTTATATTATTAGGTTGTTTGAATTACTACATTACAATGGTGATCAAAGGTTTTAGAAATCTGGCTCTGGAAAGTGACAATATCTGTGAAATACTTTTAGTGAGTAAAAAGTACAATATTTCTGAGACATAGGGAAGCATCAAGTATCAAAAATGGAAATACTCCAGTAAAAGATCAAAATAAAACCACAAAAAACACTGGACTTACCTCTCCAGTATGACTTTGGCACTCTGCGAATGAGAGAGTGGAGAGGACAGACAGAAAGGAGGAAAAAGATTAAATTAATCACATGGTGCTGCAGCTCTCTGTGCCAACAACATCTGTCAGACACGTCACCGTGTGAAATACAAACATGATTTTAAGAAATACTGCCAGCTGCCAGAAAGGCCTCACGGTCTTTACTACCTGCTTCCTCTAAATCTATCTTCTTTAACACCTGCTTTGGCAGAGCAAGTGTCTGAGCATAAAACAGCAACACCTGAGGCTCAGACTTCCTCTCTCTCTCAAACACACAAACACCTGCGCACACACACACACACACACACACACACACACACACACACACACACACACACACACACTTTCCTCAGTGCAGAGGGAGTGATGCAGACATGTTGCATCAGCAGTAAAGATGCTGGATTTAGTAACAACCTGCTTCAGAGACGAGGGGGACTGAACTCAGTTCGGACCGTCCAACTAACTTTTCAACTTTTTTCAGGTTTTACTCGACCCTCAAATTGCATCATAAAAGTATCCTCTCTGTCTTGAAAACAACAATTTATTAAGAAATAAATAAATATTCACACACTCTCCGTACTTATGCTCTGAACAGCTGAAACATCTTTAAACACAAACTTAAAACCTACTTTTTAGCATTTTTTGCCTCGTGTTTGATTGTAATGTTTAATGTCCATTATTTATTTTATTCCATCTTATTGACTATCAAGTACATCAGTTTAGTTTAAAATGATTATTTTATTAATTTCATTATTAATTCACCACAATTCTTTTCTTTCTCTTTCAGCTTTGGTCTCAAAATGTTTTACTTTTAAATTGGAATGGTCTTATTATCAGTTTGTCAGTCATCTGTAAAGCTCCTAAAGTTCCTCTAACCTGTACAGAAAGTGCTATACAAATAAAGTTTGATTGATATAAACATTTGGTGCTCACTGTCTGCAGATAACAATGCTGAACAGCCATCGTTGTGTTTACAATACAAGAGGTTATAATACATCCTCTGAGCAGTGCTACTTCTTCAGAGCAGACTGGATGCTAGAGTGACTCGGTATCGGAAAGTGACAAGACGGTCTGACTGGGCCTGAGCTAGCTGGTTAGCATGCTAACTTCAGAAGAAGCCAAACAAGAGTTAACACTGGCATTGCTGCTGGAGCTCTTGGTGAGTAAAAGAGTGATGTCGGATGCTGAACTTACAACGTTTCTTCTGGACAGGTAAGTAAACAGTTGCTAATGCTAACGTTGGCTATGTAGTGATAGCAACACTTGCTAATACTTATTTGCTAATCACATTTCTGTCAGTCGTCTGGTTGAATAATTGAGTAATAGTGTCAGATGTTATAACTACATGTGACATGAGATAATAATCTGATTGGCCATATATCAGCACACTGATGTTTCAATTTAACCTTTGCTTAAAGTGCTGTGTTGAAGAAGTCAAAATTAAGGAGTAGGCGTAGTCGTAGTTGTTGTACATGTATGGACACATTATCAATCAGCTAATCAATAAAGTACACTGGAGAGACTGACCAGCTCTCCATTATCCCTGCAGCTGTATGAATAAATCATGTGTGTGTGTGTGTGTGTGTGTGTGTGTGTGTGTGTGTGTGTGTGTGTGTGTGTGTGTGTGTGTGTGTGTGTGAGTGTGTGACTAGATACTGCCCGTGTCTTAAGGTTCGCAGGAGCAGAGACCAGCCTGAATCTGAGGGGTCATGAGATGGTCAACAGGATAAGATTTGTTACTGGGTAATTTACATTTTTCTCTTTGGTTGAACAGGTTGCAGCTGGTCGACATTTACAGCTGTGAACAGCATTGCCTAAAATTTGAAAAAAGTATTAGTACACGCCTTGAAAACATGTTGTTGCTGTCCAGTGAAACCTCTGCACCTCCAGTTTTGATGATTTTTATTCGATTATGGATTACATGCTCCTCTATGAGCTAAAGGCCTGTTAACAAGGACCTCGTAAAACTATTTCAAAGCCCACTGGATAGCAAGAAATAAGTTTCCATAAAGCAGAAAACAAGGCTGCTCTTCTGAATTCCTAAAAAAAAACATTTTGAACATACAAGCACCACAGGTCACTAACTCCCAAAATTCCCAGAATAAATACAAAGAAGCGGCAGCTGCAGCCCTGTATCCAGATACCAAACATCTGACTAACGAGGTGTTACTCACCTGTATAAACAAAGGCATGTGCAGCTCCTCCATGGACTGTATGGCCGACTCCACCAGCGTGACCGCGGCCTCCAGGTGATCGCCATGCCGACGGATGAGGGATCGAACATGTTTCAGTTTATTGTCCTGTTGTTTGGAGATCAGACCCACCAGCTCCTGCTTCCGCTCTTCCAAGATGGCCACCAGACCGTGGAAGTGGCTCTCCAGCTGCTCTCTCTGCCGCTGACCGTTCTCCTGATGGAGGGAAAGAGGATTCCTCTGCTCAACAAAGTTAGAAAGTCACAAAGTATGAAATATAAATACTAAAGAGAGTTATGGTTTCCCAAATTAGTGGATAGTCACATTATTTAGAGAAATGATAATGATTTATTTTTCCATTCTTGTTTTTCTTTTGTGCATGTGTGTGTGTGTGTGTGTGTGTGTGTGTGTGTGTGTGTGTGTGTGTGTGTGTGCGTACGTGCGTGCGTGCACGTGCATGCCTGTGTGTGTGTGTGTGTCTAACCTCTACAGTGCGGCACATTTCTTCCATCTGAGAGATGACTGCCTGGATGTGGTCATTACTGGCGACCAAGATGGCGATGCCGTCGCTCAGATCTGTCTGCAAACATCCAGAACATCACTGACGTTAATTCAGACACTGACAGACAGGAATAAACTTAAGAAACTAGCAGCTTTAGGTGCCATTTTCAATGAGTATCAATGAATGGCCCAGTAACATGAGCCGTTCACTGTCCCTCTTTGCCTCATTACTCCTATAAAGTTCATTCGCTTGTGTAGCTGGATTTGTGATTGGGATTGTTGAGTTATGTTATGAATAATGTTGATTATTGAAAGAGTTACTCTGAATAATCTTCTTTAAACCAGCCAACACAGCAAGAAAGTAAAACCACCAAACTTCAGACTCTCAATTCTACTGTTATAAGATCCTTGAGACAAGGCACCATGAATAAGCTACGTTGTTGCTACGATGTTTCACATCAACAATAACACTAGTAATATTTTAAGCGATAGTGAATTGAAGATTTAGAAAAAACAATAAATCTACAACTGATTATCATCGAATAATCTGCCAATAAATCGATTTATTTAATCATTTCAGCTCTAAATAAAACATATCTCTGCATCACTGTACAATAATACAGTGGAATTATTGCCACTAAAAGATGCATAATTAACCACAGTGTTTGTGGTCATGTGTCTGAAGAACCTTTCAGCATTTATTCTTCAACAAAATCCAAATTATTTCCTGGACAAATCCTGACAGTCGACCAAGCAGCAGGATTATCTGTTCATCTGTATCTCTATGTGGATCCAGTCGTGGATGAAAAGTTTCTAAACTTTTTCCCTTGTTAAAAAGACAAATTCAGACTGTGCAGTGTTTCTGGATGAATACTTCCTCATTAGTAATCCTGTCACCACCTAAAGCCCAACAACATGAGTCACCAGCATGCATCTGTTTAGAGTACCACATGTCATCATGTACATTTTTACAGACTGTCGCAGCTTCTGTGCAGTTTCAGTGTCATTTAAAAAAGTGTTATCGGTGTAGCAAACACTTAAATCACTTCTGTGTCGACCAAATGTAATCTCTGATGCTTTGTTTATGAAATCAGCCTTTAAGATGGAGCATCAACAACTTTCCTCGGCCTCATCTGAATTTCAGATGAGTGATTCAGAGACAGAGTGAGAGATGGAGAGGCCGACACTGAAATGTCAACAAAAGCTCGGTAACATGCCGGACGCTGCTGCTGCTGCTGTCATCTGCATGACTAAACTGCTGCACTTTGTCTTTGCGTGACTTTGCGCGTCCACAAATAAAGTTTTTACACGTGATAATATTTGTTTCTGCATTAAAACAATGTCTAGTATCACTGTAACTGACCTTTAGAAAGCTGAAAGCCAGGTGTGTGTGTAGGTGTGTCCTGATTACACACGGTATTTATTTATATATCATGGATTCACACTGGGTGATGCTGGGTTTGTGTTTGAGAAAAAGAAACCAGGATCCAAACAGAAATAGAAGAATAGAAGATTATAGAAACAGAAAGCATAAGTATGGCAGATAAAGGCCATCATCTGTTATTACAATTCACCCGCCAGAGTTTAGACTCTTTGATTGTCCTTTGACCTTTAAACAAGCTTCAGCTTCAGCTCGGCTCCTCAGAAACCTGCTAGCTTATTTCCAACACACGCCACCAACAACATCTCTGGCTGAATCTTTTGGTTTTGGTTGGTGTCTTTGTCTGATGGTGAACTGGAGTGAACTGGAGTAAACCATGAGGTTCTGACTAATGAGACGCCTGGTATGTCGAGTGAAAGCTGCCAATGTTGATTCTGTACCTTCTGCCTCATGTAGACGCTGCTGAGCGGAGCCACGTCACAGTCTTTGTGTTGTCCAAACACTTTGCACATGGAGCAGGTCGGCGTCTGACACGACAGACAGTAGATGTTGATCTTCTCCTCTTCATGTTCTTCACACATCAGCTGCTGCTGCTGCTGCTCTGGCTTCATGTTTACAAGCCTGGAAGAGACACAAAGTCTTCAAGGTTCGTTTACAGGCTTCTTTTACTTTTTTTTTTAATCGTTAAGGGTCCCATACGGTGTAAAGGTCTCTGTCCATGTGTAGTGTGATTATAGATCAGGTCTAGGTTCTATATTAATACTGTGAAAGTATCAAAGCCTCAGTCCACAGAGAAATGCACACAGCCTGTATTCAGACACTGAGCCTTAAAACCAGCCGTCAGGACGTCTGGAACTTTGTGATGTCACAACAGAGCAGTCACCAAGCCCCGCCCACCGGGACCCACCAGCCAACCTTTCAGGATATGGTTTTTCTGAGTGTCTGAAATCTGCTACATTTTTAATGGATCACTCACAAAACAGTCAGCCAATCAGAGGAGAGGCTCAGAGCCTCCTCTCTTCTGATTGGCTCACTGACCTGTTGTTACTAGAGCTCCAGAGAGAAGCCTGAGAGAGGAGATGTAAAACTACACTGAGATGGTTTTTGGTTCTTAAAACCACAAATATATCTTCTACACAGGAGAAGGGTAAAGTATAAAAATTTAAATATCCTTAAACTTTCTCTGGCGACTTTTCTAATGAGCAAACTGATGCAGATTTTGCAGGTCAACAACAGAGACAGAGAGAGATGAACCAAAAACAATCATTAAAAAACACTATAATTATCTGCCTTTAAATATCACCTACTGTAACTGAATCACTCATGGTGATGAAAATGAAGATGAAGAGACGCTCATGTTTTCAACCCCAAACAAAACACTGATGAATCCAGGAATCCCTCTAGAGCAGTGGTTTTTTTTATTCTTTCTCTATAAGAACACAAGTACAGACAGTCCTTGCCATTATTTTAATGCATCTATAATGTGCTTAAAGGAAAAAACTTGGCTGCTTTTAATCTCATTTACATGCACAAGTGGCAGAGTGTCCACAAGATTTGGCAGCAGTGTGTCGATTGTTGAAGCAGCTTAGTTTACTTCTGTTATCAGTGACGTTTTTGTTTTGACGTCAGCGGATGATGGAGGAGCTACGCAAAGAGTTTGGCTGAGATGCCTGTTGTTTCTTTTGCCACCTGGGAACACAGAGTGTGTCACTGCTCACTTATAGCTCGGTCAGCGTCCCATAGGTTACCTCTGAAGGGGCGTAATAAATCTAGATTTTCTGTCTTTCATTTACCTATGACACAAGCAGAAGTGACCAGCCAATTAAACACACACCACTCCCAGAGACTGCCTCACAATCAAGCCACACTGGTGCATGTATGTAGCTGGGACGGGGATGAGCATCCTGACAAAGCAAAGGCTGTTTAGTTAGAGTCCAAGTTTTATGCAACAGCCGGCCCTTTGTCCTCTGACGTAGGTGTCTCTGACAGAAACGATGATTAAGTAATGAGAAATTTTTCCACCCATGAAAAAATGATGAGAAACTACAAGTTACAAAACATTTGTGAAGCTCGCTGTGAACAATCACATCTATTTTAGCCCACAGAGATAATGACGGGACTCCTGTCCTTCTGTCTCCAACGAACGCCAACATCTCTCGTCCCCTCACCGGTGACTCACTGAGCTTCTATTCTGGGGTGAAAGTGACAAGTTTACACTCATGATGAGTTAAATATCAGTGTAGAGTCGTAGTAAGTGTGTTCACTTATCAAACAGGGGCAGATGCAGTGAAGAGGCTGCTATTTAGAGCATTTCATTTATTATGTAAATTCATTTTAGCTTCCAACAGGCCTGAGAGAACACAATGTGTTTTGTTGATTGACAAGAACCAAATTAACAAATCTGTGACCAAATCCAGGCAAATTATATGTAACAATGTGTTTTAGCTAAATTATTAAAGTGAATGCTCCTGAGTCTCTGCAGTCACAACTCAGCAAAACACCAAGAAGGTCAGAGAAGGCGACCTCCCACCTGGAGACATAGGTCAACATAAAAGGTTCTGAGATAAGATAGAGATGTTATATAATGTTAAATTAAATCAGTGTCCATCTCTACTGACGACCGGATACCTGAGAGTAAAGTCTTCTGTTTCAGCGTCGTGTCAACTTTGTTTTTTTAATCCTTCACTTTTTTCCAGTTTTATTGGTTTTTGACTTTAATTTAATAATCTATGTTTTTCTTCTTGAGTTTTCTTTGACTTGATTCACACGTGCATTAAAATGCAAATAAAGAATAACTTTCAGTAGCCAAGGGGTAAAAACCAAGAGGCTGCATGTAGTGTGATGTCATACTGTGTGACCTCTGGAGCTATTTATAGCCACTAACGTGTTGCTCAAATTGGAATAAAGATTGTTTTTTAGTATATAAATAAAAAAATCAGTGACTGTAAATAAACAGGATGGAAAACTGAGCCACAGTTTGTGATCGCTTTAAAGAAAACAGCAAAAAATGTGTAAAAACTCTCTGAAAAAGTCTCAACTCAAGCTGTTTTCTAGCAAAAACACAACCGTATATCTTTCTTTAACCAGGGATTATTTTGCCATTATTCATTATGAGGCACCGGCTGCTGTGAATTTACTGTATATCAGCTTCAAAATGTTAAATAACTGTCTGTATTGTCCGGATGCATCAGCTCTGCACAACCAGAGACAGACTGTGGTCAGAAACCTGTAGAGAGGCAGTAACGTAACACAACACTGCTCTCTGTTGGTTTTCACTCATTATTACAATAACAGACACAGTCCTACTATATATTCTGTATAATCACCTTCTCCTGCCGCCATTCATTTCATAGTTGAATTGATCATATTTCTAAATGATGATGTTTAGACTCAGAATGTTCATCCTCAGATCCAATTTATTTCTTCATCTTGTTGTTTTGTTGTTTTTTCAATGAAAATTGGTTTAAAATATTGAACTTTGACCTGAGACATGTTTACACAGTAATGTAGTACGTAGCTGGTAGAAATGTTTATTAATGTGTTATTCTACTATAACTGCTCCTGCGGGCTCGCATGCAGCGGGTGTATGAACATATAACGAATGACATCACTGTGAAGTTATAATAATATAAAAGGTATAATTATTGACAAATACCGTACACGTATAAACACTTCAAATTTACAACTAGATTATAGTGTTATGCATTATTATTATATGCTTATACATTTTCTGCCATGTTCACCAAATTCAATTAAAGACTTTAAGATGTTTTTAAATACTCTACCACTTAAAAACAACGGAATCAATTAGTCAAAGAATGATAAAGACAGTAGGGACAATGAGGTTTTATGTGGATATGTTTGTTATTGAAGGAGGTTATGTTTTCACCTGTGTTCGTTTGTTTGTCAGCAGCATTACACTGATTTGTACGAAGCTTGGTGGAGGGATGGACCAGAGATGAACCCATTAAATCTTGGTGCAGATCCAGGAATCTTTTCTAGTCACTTTCCTTAAGACTGTGAGATTTCCAACTTTTTTATCAATAATATTTGGATCTTGATGTAAAAATCAGACGTATTCATAGTATTGAGATCTATGATCTAGTACAGTTATAACAAACATTACAATGTACTGCATGACAGACAAGATATTGAAAACTTCTGTAAAGGAGATTTTAGACTTTCCAGTAACTTCTTTGTGGGAACTCACTCTGGTGCTTCGTAAGACTTTTCCAGACCTGCAACTTTTCCACAACTCAAAACCTCACTCCCTCCTACACACACACACACACACACACACACACCTGGAGGTATCCTGCTGTCTGTAGATGTCTATGATGTTCTCCACCAGCAGGTTCCTCTGCAGGCCGTAGACTCCGTGGCGGTCCAGCACCACTTCCTGGCGACACGACGGGCAGCGGAAGCGGCCGCCACTGGCAGCGATGCCGGAGGAGCCGCGGGACTGCCACAGAGGGTTCGCTGACTGGGAGAGGGAAAGAGGAGGAGAAAGAGTGTAAGGGAGAGAGGGAGTAACTTCTGTCAATTTCTATTTTCATTTTCATTTCAACACAGCTGTTCCCTTTGTCACCTGAGGCTACAGGAAGGTCAGAAGGTCAACAAGCAGAGGCTGCACACTTAGCTATATTTTGGTGAAAATATAAATGTATGGCTCATACTTACTTTACTAACAGGTAGTGAAGAAGTGCACTGACCTACAGTTAAATTTTGAGAGGTTTTGATAAACATTTGAATACTTTTTTCCTCACTGTGAAGCTGCACAGCTGCTGAGGAGGAGTACCCACCTTCACCCACTGGAGGCGACTAGTCGACACTCAACAGAAAGATTTTGGCGTAAAACACCTTTTACAATTGATTCAAACATTTTAAAGTGAAACCCTGAAGGTTTATAATTGTGTCAGAACCTATTGGGAAACACAAGGAGCTGACCTGGAAGATGTCGTTGGCACACTTGCGGCAGAGGTTGTGCTGGCAGGGCAGGATGACCACGGGTTTGGAGAACATCTCCAGGCAGACGGGGCAGATCAGCTGCCTCTCCAGGTTCTCCATGGTGGCTCCGCTGCCGCCTCCGGGCCCAGAGCGGCCTGCTGACGGCGGCTTGAAGCTGAGGGCGAAGTTCATCACCTCCGGGTGACGGTGAGTGAAGTATCAGAGAAGACAGAAGAGACTTCCAGAAACACGAGGTGGGGGATATTGTATCTCTTTCTTACTCATGCAGCTCTGTGTTCGTCAGTCTTGACTTTCTCTTCCATCCTTCCCTCAAAAAAGATTCAATTTCAATGTTTTTAGTCGTTGTTTCTCCCTGTTCGTTTCTCTAGCTGTTACTCTGTCTCTTCCCCCAGCTGTCCATCCATTTCCCCCTCTGCCAGCCTGTCTAACCCCATGTAAAGACCCTCCCGCGCCCAATGCCTCAGTCCCACAGCAGCCGGACTGTTGACTGTTGTTATTTTTAGCTCCTGGGTTTGTTCTGGCTTGAGTTACTGTCTAAACTGCGTTCCACAGTCAGACTGTTGGAAAGTGGCAGAGGATCACCTCAGTGATCAGCACCAGGGTTCAAATGATAATGTTTTTATGAACTCTGATACAGCAGAGTTGATCCTGCTGACATAATGCAACCTCTGGCGGCCATGTTTAAAGTCATTAACACTTTGGAATAAACAGGCTGGTCCCCTTTCTGTTTGTCCCAGCAGAATCCAGAGCACAGGTTCTGATGAAAACCTGACACACGTGATTTATTTTGAAATCAAATATTGTCGTTGTTTAGTGACCTGCTGTCCGTTCAGCAGCGCTCAGTGTCCTGTGAGCTGCTTTATTCATCCCACTTTATGACTCGTCTGCTATGTCAAAGACAGAGCAGCTAGCAGTATCATCTGTACTGTATATTTCTGTTAATATTAGTCCATTTGCTAATAGCATGTTTGTTCAGATTATAAGTTGTTTTGGCATAAAAGGAAAACAGCTTGTTCTGAGGAGAAATCAGCTGTCATACTCAACAAAAAGTATTTAATCACAAAAACATAAATATCAGCTCTAAAAATCTATCATTTTTTTTTTTTCAATTATCTTGTTTAGATATAGGTCAGTTTTTCGATGTTTATTATAAATCAAGGCTGAGTTAGAGAGCTGAAATTTATATCTTGATATCCAAAATAATATTTTCACAATGTGACAAAGTTTATAATGAAAGTAATCAAACTGATATTATATTTAATAAAATGTGTTGCTTTGTTCTACTCCTCATAAGTTTTCAGGTAAAACAGAGACTTAAAATGACTCACATATTTGTAAAATTGTTATTCAGAAGTTTCAAATAACAATTTTACGGTTTTGTTAAATATGGTACAATTACACTGGAAGTCAATGGTCACAACTCTTTTATAGCTGTTTAGTATTAGTAGAATATAATAAGCATTTAGATATTCGGTGTTTCTCCAAACCACTAAAATATTTAGTCAGGTTTTCATTACCAACAATATAATGTGAGAAGCAAAATCAAAGTAGAAACTAAAACACTATTAATTATAAATAGACATGGGAGCATGATTCATAAAATCTATACATATTACATATCTATACATATTTTCTATCCACTGGGACGTGCTAAATTTAAAATGTGGAGTGTGTGTGATTGAGTCATCAGGCCAGAGGAGGAGGTTTGAAAATAAAACAGTCGGCCAGTAACTGGATCTTAATATAAAGAGGAAAGGAAATGAAAGCACAGCTGAGAGGATATTTAAACTACAATTCAGCATCATACACACAGCTTTCATTTATACACAAACACTTCAAGTGTTTTTTTTTTTTCTTTTACACCACCAGGCCCTTATGTTGTTGTTGTTTGTTGATGGGACGAGAAGAACATTTTGATCTGATTCAGTATCAAACAACACACATATGAACTCAAAAACAGTGACTTTGGGATTTAAACCTGTGTAATAATGATTACACAACATCATTGAACCAGAAAACACTCACAAAGATCTCTCACACACACACACACACACACACACACACACACACACACACCTCTGCTGACACTACACAATCCTCTGAATTATTTAAAACTTTGATCTGCATCTGGACCTCTGTCAAAACACACAGTTACAGTAACTCAATACATGTCCCAGTGATTTCATTCAACTAAAAATAAAAAAAAATCTAATCCGTCAAATGCCTAATCCTAAAATTCCTACAGCTCAACCAAAAACTAATCCTTTGTTCTCCGGCCTGTGGCTGAACTTTACAGCAAATTTCTTTAAATCTGATCCTGCTGAGAAACAAACAAACCAAAATTTTTATGGGTAAAAAAACAAAGGAACAGATTCATTTTTTTAGGGATTTAGGGCAGAAATAAAAATATCAAATCTCAAATGTATCAAAGTATCATCACAGATTTAGATTCCCTCTCTCCTACTGTCCGTGCCCTCTGACCTTTGTCGACTTCCTCTTAAGCAGAGTAGACAGCGGTGGGGTCAGTTCACAGCGACCAAACACACCAGGTATTTGCTAATCAACAGAATGAAGTCGGCTAAGTAGACTAAGCCACTAATGGGATTACTGGACTATTTATAGGCTGTGGAGCAGAGGGCAGCTGCAGAGTAAGCTAAACATACAAACACAGAGCTATTCATGCCTCTGTACTACCAGCAGCCTGTTGTGACTTCAGGTTATCACTGTGCATCAGAGCCAGAAGACATAAAAAAAGCAGCTGCTTTAGCTTAAAGGATTTTTTTCTTACAGTCAACAAATTCCATTAAAAAGACCAAAACCAAACATGTTCCTTCATTACAATAAACAGAATAAACAGAAGCACCGTTGTTTATTTCAACTCATTCTCACACAAATTGTCATGCTTCCATAAATACACACTAGAGCAACAAATGTGTACTAATCCACCACTGAAAATAGTCCCCAACAAATCCACAATTTTCTCCTGTTTAAGTTAAAAACAGCAGCATATATATATATATATGCAGTGAACAAAAATATAAATGCAACAATTTTGTTTTTACTCCCATTTTTCATGAGTTGAAATAAAAGATCTATGGTTTTTTAAGCGCAGGACACACCTGTGCAGTAATCATGTTGATATGTCACACCTGTCAGGTGGACGGATTATCTTGGCACAGGAGCAATGCTCATTGACACGGATCTGTGTTTAATTCTATTCTATTATTTATCTTCTTTTAGTATTTGGTTCTTGTCATTTGGCAGTCTGTTTTTCTTTCTTTGTATTGTCCACTTTGCTGCTGTGATGCAGGAAACTTCTCCACTGTGGGACTCAGAGGAATATCTTATCTTATCTCATTGTTATTGGTTCTGTGTGTAAGTAAATTGAGAGCCACTAGAAACCAGAGGAAAATCCGTCACATGAACAAACACACTTGGCCAATAAAGTTCATTTTACAAGCCAGAACAAATACAGACACAATAACAGACAGGTGGTTATAAAATCCCCGTTTTTTTTATTTGGTTGAATTTCATAATAACTCATTTACAGATCGTTCACAGGGAACTACAACAGTGAGTGACACGCCCAAAAGAAAAAAAGAAAAAAAAAGAAAAGAAAATCATCTACAATAATAAATTCATGTTGTTCTACTCTTACGTTCAATTCAATTTAAGTTTCTTGACACTCTTGAAAAGATTGTACCACTGGACAGTCATCCATCTTTCCCTGGAAGAACGTTAGCTCCACGATAACTGTTTTTAGCATAAGCATTAGCATGGTGTTTGTATTTGACACAGTGTATACTAAGAGGTAAGCATGGAGCCTGATTTAAAGTAGCCACACATGAACGTAGAGTCCTGCGCTCATCATTTAAAACCTAGGCTGATCAACAAGTTGACCTCCATCACTTTTAGTAATATTAGATTTCAGTTATGGTATTTTTATAAGATATACAGTAAATTAAAAAAAAAATTAAAAATAAAAATGCATGTACACTGTTAAAACAGACAATAATTCATAAAACATGTCCATTAACAAAAAGGAATTTTGTCAGTTATTTTGCCGTTTTATTTTAATTTATTTACAACAATTAAAAAAAATAATAAATAACACATCTCCTGTCAGTGCTCCATGACCTTGTTGCTTTTATACTGAAGTGAGTTGATGTGAGAGGATCTGAAGTTAGACAAAAATTAAAAGACCTGAAATGTTATGAGACACTCTTGAAATTATATTTTGGCTATTGATGGCAAAAAAGATGAAATAATGACCTTCAAGTTTGCAGACAAGCAGATATGTGATCCATCAAAGACAGAGCCAGGACAAAGTGGAGTTTGTAATTTTAAAAAATGACATTACATTAGTTTACTGCAGTTCATCAGGAAATACTGAAACAGCGTTAACTGAAGTGTAACTGCATTTAATGGACTTAATTTATCATGGGAGAAAAACAAAGAATGAACCTTTAAATTTCACCCTTTCATTAAAGAGGAAAAATATTTTCATAAAAAAAAAAATATATATAATATATATGATAGTATATTAGATATTAGGAATATTATATATATATATATATCACAAAAATTTACCAACTGGGAACAAACTCCTGCCTGGACAATAACTCTCCAAAGCATCAACTTATTGACTCCACATGACCTAGATGAAGCAACGTTAAAGGTTTGATAGAATTAATAGAGACATAATAATGCAAATGTTCCTGGGACAAATTGTTTTATCAAATATCTTAAAAACTATACATGTTTTTTCTTTTCAAATGAGCCCAATTAAAGGAACAGTTACACATTTTGGCAATTATACTTGTTTTCTATATTTGCTTTCTTGCTTCTACTCTCATGTTTATAAATGAAGCTAAAGGAAGCGTGTTATATCTTGTTTGTTTGTTCCATATTAAAACCAAAGTATAAAAATGTGTGTTTCTTTGCTGAATCTCTTTGTTCTGGTAAACTGTGACTTTACATTTTGTAGACAGTAACAATATATAAAGAAAACCATGTTGTATGGAATCACACCAGCTGCTGTCAACATGTTGACGCTCTGACCCATGAGTAGTTTTATAACCATATTATTACATGAATACTTAGGACTCATGGGTTGGGCCACACCCATCTTCAAACTCGGCCTTCATTTTGATCTCGACTACACACCTGTAAAGTTTTATGACGTTGTTGCGCTGATGAAATTTGTCCACGGACAGACAGACATATAAACACCTACCAAAGTACTCAAAACCTCCTCTGTAGTAGATCACACTACATAAGGTTTCTCCAGGATCACATTTTGCCATGATCTCACACACACACACACACACACACACACACACACACACACACACACACACACACACAGCTGGTAATAATCATTAGCTGCAGCCCTAAAGTTGAGCATTTGACCAATTACCCATGACTGATGAGTGAACGCTCCTCTCTAATAATCAGACCCAAATCCAAAAGAGAAAATGTCACATAAAATCAACTTAAACCTTCAGTGAACACACCCAGTGAAAAGAAAATGGGATTTAAATAAAAAAAGAGAAAATGTTAGTTTGAGACCAGATTTATAAAACTCTAATGAAGATCTGTTGTGGCTGTGATCACTGTGCAGTTCAAGGAGCTGAAGCACCAACACTGATCCAGATTCACTAAAGGTTTTGCACAGGGGGAGGAGCAACAACGACTGACCACAATCAGCAAATGAGGGAACCATGCTTATCACCAACAAATGTAATCTGATTAACCTTTCCACATTATATTTAATATTTATGGGTGACATCACGCTAAACAAGACAGCAACAGCTACAAAACAGGTGCACAGGTGACATCAAAATGTTGTTCGTTCACTGCTGCGATTATTGTTCAAGGCACAGCACTGTCACATTGAGGAGAGGGTTTTCTATCCTGGAAATTCAACACATTTGAGTGAAAAGATGCAGGACTTAATGCGAGTGCCTAAAATCTGCAATAAAGATGGTCGATTGCTCTGTGCTCTGTTCAAGAGCCACAAATATATTTATAAAAAAAAAAAAAAAAAAACATCCTGCGAATTAAACGAAAAACCCAAAAACCTCAATGCAATCAAATTATAGCTTGCCCTTGTAATGCAGTCTTAGTGAATCTGGACCTGAGGTTATTTATTATCAAGTAACTTAAAAGTTGATGGTTTGTGTTGTTTTTTTTCTGGAAGCAAAAACAGGAACAAAAGAAGATTTACACTTCACTGAACTGAGACTGAAAAAAAATGGCAACAGACTCACGTCACAAGGTGCATAGACCTAAATGCATATTATACAAACAACTTTGACAAACTGAACTGTAGCTTATGGAGGAAATGGCGTTCCACCTGTCTCACCATGGGCTGGCTGGCTACATGGAGCTGCAAGCTTTGGTCTACGAAACAACAAAAGAATGAGCGCAGTCATGTAGGTCTGACAAAACATTAATTAAAAGTCTTTTCTAGTTATAGCTTCAGCGCTTCATTTATTTTCCATTTTATGGCATCTGTTGTCGTCCATTTAAAAGATATAGATTATGCCGGAGGGGGGGCGGGGTTAGATTTTTTTTTTTTTTGCCGAGGATGGCACACAATGACATACGGGCTGGTACAAGTGTGTGTTTGTATACAGGATGTGTGTAACCAGAGTTTGCATGTCTGTAGTTCTGGGATATGTATTCCAGTGCTGTACAGTTGGGGGCATGCATCCGGACAAAAAAAAAAAAAAAAAAAAATGCATGCACATTGGGGACGTAATCCTCGACTCTAGTCCTGATCTAAATCTTCTGCCCCCAGGTTTTGGCTCAGACATTTAAACAAGACAATCTGTGAACATCAGTCACTGCAGGCTCCTCTGCTCTGTCGCATCTCTCAGATTGTGCATTTGTTTGAAATGAAATGTAGTATTGACCCTCCTCCTTTGAAGAACTTTTTTTGTTACCACCACACTTAGCATCAAGAGTTTTGGTGCATGAATGAATGTGAGCGGGCAGTGATGCAAAATTTAACTGAAGGCGACTGTTCCTTGAAAGAAGACGGGAGGAAGAAGAGGAGAAAAAATATTGGTATTCCACATCGTCGTCGACGGTCTGAACGCGTGGTTTCTGTTTCGCTGCTGGCTTCTGATGATTTCTACACATCACAGGTGTCATCCAATTCCATAATGGAGTTACTTTACCATCAACCTTGGTGCCTTTTTTTGGAGGGAAACTCCAAAACAAGTTAAAGGGGGAGAAATGTAATAAAAGAAGAAAGAAAAAAAAAAAACTCCTGCTGGTCACAAACAGAGTCCACATCAGAAGGACACAGGGAGGGATGGGACTGAGAGAGAGATAAAGAGAACTCCAGTCCTTGCCTGGATTGGCAACTTTCCATCATGTTTTTTTTTTTTTTTTTTGCCCTCATGTTCCCGTTTTTGCCATCTTCCTGCCCAGTGTTACTTCCTTACTGGTTGGAATGGGACGACCAGAACAGATTAGTAACTTGTTGCCAAGCCCTGGATAACTGGGCCACTACCAAGCTCACATCCAGCCCAGGTTGGACTATGGCAAGCTGGAAGGAGAGAGGCTGGTTGCCTTGTATTTACTAGATGACATTAATTTTTCAATGAGGGTCTGAGCGTTGCCAGAGCCCAGCTCATAGTTTAATTTACATGAATACTCCTCCATACTGTGAGGTCCATGGAGGGGGAAAAGAGCCTCTAAGTGCCCACCTTACAGGTGATGTCCAGTGGGTAGATGAAGAAGGTTGAGGGGGGAGGATTTCGGCGTGGGCCTGGGCTGGCTGGTCTCTGGGTCTCTGGATCTCTGGCAGCAGTCAAATGTGGCTGGGTCGTAATGAGGACTTGAAAGGCTAAAGGGGGAGAAGAAGAGATCAAACATTCAACAGTGATCACATGATGCTGAAATTGACTCTGAATTGTGACTGTGTCCAGCCACTGCTATATCTGATTGTTTTTTTTTTTATTGTCACACAAACATGTGTCGATCCCACACAGACTTACAAGATGATGGAATTACTGTTGCAGTGGTTTAACATTTAAGCTAAACAAATAGCAACATGGCAAACACAGAACTTTGCCCTCTGCCCCAAACTCTACAGATAAACTTCGCCAGTATTTTGTCCTTTCTAAAACACAAGTTCTTCTATAAATCATCCAACTCCTCAGAAATGAAGAATATTCCACTATAAAGTAAAATGTCTTTTACTTTTACTGTCTTTTACTAAAATGTCTTTCTTTTCTGTGTTCCCTAATCACACAGTTTCAACTCCCTCAAATATGTGTAGAAATTCAAATGTTCTTATGTATGTACAATATGATCAAGGATATTTAATGAAAGCATTTAAATTTCATATCAGTTAAACCTATTGCAATATCAAAAAACATCCTAACAGCACTATCACAGTAAATTCACATATTTTCAGGTGTTTGACTCTTATATATGGCCAAAATTAAAAAATAACAGACAGTGTTTTACCTACCTGCTTCTGCTTGTTGAGGCTCATCTACACCATCACTTTCCTGTGGGAGGAGAGGACATATATATATAAAAATATATAAAAAATAATGTAAAATTAGAAAATAAACAGCAAATTCATTTAATAAGAAAAAGGACATGAAGTCAAAAGAATGTGCCGAGCTATGCAAACTTAATTTTCACATTTTCAATAAAATTCTGCCTGAATGAAAACTATACGTTTCATCTCAGTAGCTTCTTCTGGTTTCCCCTGTTGGTCAGACTGTGGAAGTATCAAACACAAGGACTAAGTCCAAAATGATGCCTTATAATAATAATTATAATAATAATAATAAAACAATACAACACACAAGAAGCTACAGGAATTACTTCAGCCATGCTCGTTTCCTGACAGTGCAGGGGCTTAAATGTGACGCTGACAACAAGCAGTGGACAGTGTTAGGAGACATGCAGGTACAAGACAACGTGAGCAACATGATGAACGCAGTTCAGCAATGAATAAGCATGACTTGGTTATTGGGCAGCGTGGGTGCTTTGTTATGGATGAGTGAAGAAGCAGAACATGAGTGACGTGCTGCTGGGTGGGCAGCTGACAGGCAGCATCAAGGAGGAAGACGGTTTCTCATACAAGACTAAACGGACGGACGACAATGCGACACAAAAAAACTGGACGATGTGGCTCTTACGAGTCATTTCGACTCTGGTAAGGTCTCTCCAGGGTTTTCTTCCCCTGCTGGGTTGGCTGAGGTCGGTGCCTGGGGCTCAGGTGGAGGCATTGGCATGGGCATGGGCAGGGGGATGGGCTGAGTCTGGCCTTCTGGGTTTTCTGGGCCAAGATTAGATGTGGGCTGGCCTATGATTACTGTGTTACCTGTTGGGTTGGAGCATGAAAACAAGAATCCTGCAGAGTGAGAACCTCATGGGCTTTAGTTTTTCATTTAACACCTTTTCTTCCCTCCAGATGCATTTTCAACTTTAATAGACATGAAACTACTGAGATATTAAAGGATTTAAGGTGAAGCTATGTGACTTTTGAAGAGGAAATAACAATCTTTTTTAATCACACATGAAAAGTTGGATTCAAAAGCAGTAAAATGCACCTTTACTAGCTTATGGTGGCTAATGTTAGCTAATATTAGCAAAGATGTAGAATAGGTAGACACTGCTGTGACTCTGTGTTCTGTAAAAGTTACATCATTTCACTTCACAAGGAAGCAGGAGGTAAAACTGCATCATAACTGAGTTTCATGGCCTCCAGTGTTATTGACACCGATGTTCCTCAGGCCTCCTTCACTGGTCTAAGACACACACCACGTTACAGCAACAGAAACATCCTTATTTTGAATTTAGCTTTGCTGCTCGTCATCCTGCTTCCTCTTTTTCCCCATATTTCCTGCCTGTCTCCGCTATCAGCTAAAGAATAAAAGGCAAAATACCAAAAGAGAAAAATGATTAAACTATGACATATGAGAAAATAAGAAAAGTTTGGACACATTCATCTTCAGGTAAATACAGAAAGAGATGATTCACTTAAGTACAGGGGGAATGATGAATTCCTACGTCTCAAAATTTAAGATAAAACTGTAGAATTGTAGAAGATTTTCTTGTATTACAACATCATCTAACTTCAGATAAATGGTTATCACTAATGTCACTGTAGAAAAAAAACAAACATATTTTATTACCCACAGTGAGTCATCAGCTACAGGAAACGACATCTCAAAGGATGAGACTGGTGAAGCTGCTCTGCTCAAGTATTATTAACGTTTGTTACAACCACACAAGAAAGGAAATTATAAAAACAAGTCTGTGCTATGAGTCTATTATGCTTCCTGTCTTTCACGAGGGCTTAGAGATTTTAACAGACTGATACTGCACTCAGTGTTAGTCCTGAGAATCTTTTTTTTTTTTTTTTATGCGAAGACTTGTACTTGTCTTGCTATAAACACAAACGTCTCCAGTAAACAAACACCAGACAGGAAGAAGAAAACCAACAACATCGGTGGCCAATTTTAAAAGTGTCTAAAACCCGTTTTTTCTGGTGTCCCTGTGCACAGCAACACATAGCTAGTCTGCTGGTCCCCCAGTCAGCTTTCCTAACTGGGAGCGTGCTGATTAGAATCTACTGCAGGTAATGTACCGACTATATATGACTACCTCTCATAACCCCACATCAAGAAACCCAAACTATCCCTTTAATTTGCACTGTCTCTATCAAAGAAATAAATAAACTAGATGGCCTCAACACAGGACACTTACAATACAAGTGAAGTAACAGTTATTTGTTATAGGCAGTGTTATTGAAGTGGACTGTATCCTGCACACTGTTCACTTCCGCTCCACTACACTTTTTCTTTAACAGCGACCACAAACAATGTCATGGCACAAAGTAGCTAATTATTAATAATTAATGACAGAATTACACAAAATAGTGTTTATATTTAATTAAGAAATTGATTATTTTAGTCAGGTATAAGTCTACCTGACAACAACTGTATCATTTTAATGGACCAAGAAGAAGGTGCATTAAATCATTCAGATAAGAGGAGGTGATTAATGTGTTGCCTTGTGGAACATTTTACCATTTCCTACATGTACAGTAACTGATGAACAATCAACCACAAAGAAAATGATTAATTACAACATTAAAGCTCTGTTGATCTGCACAAAGAGGTTGTTCCGCTACGTGAATCAAACACCTCTCACCTCCGTCCTGCTCTGCTTTGATTTGAGCCTCCAGGTCTTCGGGGTCGACATAGTGGTAGCTTTCGTCGTCATCCGGTGGTTTACACTTCCCACAGCAGAAACAGCAGCAGCAGCAACAGCAGCAGCAGGTGAACAGTGTGCAGCACAGTACCAGACCCTGCAATTTATAACAATTTTGAGCCATGTGACAGCAGACACATATCTGATAGAACTGTCTTTATCTCTAAATCACTCACACTGGGAAAATTACAATTATAAACACTGAGGATTTGATTTAGTCTTGTAAAATAGATTAATCAAGTCAAGTCAGATTTTATTTATATAGCTCAATATAACTAATTGTCTTAAGGGGCTTAAAAGATTAGAAGTACAGTACAATCAATTTTGCACAGCAAATTGCCCTGTCACTTTTAGGGCTGATGCATGTGTGAGATCTTTATGTGACGCAGAATGTGAGTGAAGATAAACCTAATGGAGTCCCATTCTGACATCGAAAAATTATCCATGGAATTTTTTCACTTTATAAATTTAGCAAAACTTATTTTAGAGGAAAAGAAAAAGCTCCTTTATGTGCAGGAGTTCGCAAAATGACACTAATAAAACATATAAAACTATAAAAGATCACTTAACAATGGTTTCTTAACAAAAACTAATATTTTAAGCTTCACAAAGGCGGCACATGTTGTATTTGGATTGCATATGATCATACAATTGCTGCTTTGATTGTGTTAGCTCCAGCTGAATAAGTCCAAATCAAAGTTGAGCAAATAAAAAATATAATAAGTATCTTGATAATTTTGGTAATATAGTAAAACAACTGTTTTTACTTTAGACACATTTGCAATTCATGAAAACCCCTCAGCCTGAAGTGACTGTAATAAAACATGAGCAAACTGAAGCTCTCAAAATGGTCAAATGCAATTAGCATAAAGCTATGTGCAGCTTAATCTGTGAGAGCTTTTAAAAACCGACATAGATTACAGACAAAACTAAAACACTCACCTTAAACCACCATTTGGACATGAGGAAGTAGTATTTGACACTTTCCTCTCCAAACTGTTCGGACACATACAGGCCCATGGAGCCATACTCATCATAAATCTTCCTCTTGGTCTCATCATTTAAAATAGAGTTGGCGTTGTTGATCTCCTTAAACTTTTCCGCTGCCTCCGGGTTGTCTGGGTTCTTGTCCGGGTGATACTTCAGGGCTAGTTTTCTGTCAGGAGAGACAACAAGAAGCAGACAGAAAATCAGATGATGCAAAGTGAAGCAGAGGAAATATGATGACAAATCAGGAGACATGATCAGGTTTCAGGGCCAAATCTGGTCTTTTTATCTTTAGTTTGTTAATGAAAAGCAAGTAACTAACAGTTTACCAAAGTCGTTGATGACATGAATACAGCATTTACAAGACAATAAAAACACATATGAATAAATACAAATATTTAAATAAGTCATAACACCATAAAGAAGTGCTGCAGAGATAACAGACATTTAAAACAAGCAAATGCAAACATGGCACAAAATTAAAAAGGTGTTATGTGTGTAATTTATTGGTAAACTGAAGCACATAGAGATGTTTCTAGCCCTGATATAAATGAGCTGATGAGTTTCAGCAGGTGTCAGGTTTTCAGGAAGATAAAAAAGGTGGGTGAAAAAAAAAAAAACAAAACAAAAAAAACAGTGAGATACTGCAAAGTTCCTCCACCAGATCAAATTCATAACATCAAGTTTATTAAAGCTCTAATAACAGACTCTATCTTCTTTATAATATGTTATGGGTGAGTTTCTAATTTTAAACCTGGAACTGAAACGATAAGTTGATTGAAGACAAATAATCAGCATTTTAATTTGTCATTTTTGAGACAAAAAAAGTGAAAGATTACCAACTTTCAGCTTCTCAGTTGTGAAGATTTGTTACTTTTCTTTGTCTCATGTGACAGCAGTCTCGATCATAAGGATCTTAAGAAATTCTGATGGCCAATTTTACAATTTTGTGATACTTTGCAGACCAAAAAAAAGTGACTCGCTGATCAAGGAAATAATCACCAGATTAACTGAAAATGAAAATAATCATTGTTTGCAGCCCTAGTTTCATGATGTAATAACTTAACTCATTTATACGCCAAATATTTTCTGGTGTCAGTTTCTAAAATATAAATGTTTGGCTGCTTTTGTCTGTTACATATCATTAAAACTTATTCTACTAATGTCATTAAGTTTTGAACTGTTAGTTGATCAAATCGAGTAAAGTGAAGATGTCAGTTTTGATTCTGGAAACTTGTGAAGGGCATTTTTATCCAACTTTACAGCCTACTGAACTAATTTCTCAACTGAAAGAAAAGGATAATTAGATAAAGAAAATAATCATCAGTTGCTTATTAGCATATGCTTTCATGTCTGCTTGCACAGGGAGAAATTTGCCACTTATGAGGGAATATTTGCCAACACAAACAGGAACAGGATTATTCAGGCCAAGGATTTAGGAAATACCCAAAGTAATAATTAGAGTGCGATTACCCAGACTACTCTGGAGAGACTAATCCTGTCAACTGAGGCAGCTGAAAAAGTTGAGGAATAATTTACATTACACCATCAACACTCACCTGTATGCTTTCTTGATGTCCTCGGCTGACGCTCCTTTCTCCAGCCCTAGCACCTTGTACACACTCTCCCCAGCGGTGGACATCTTCCTTTGGGGGCGGGTGGAGTTCGGGTCAGCCATGGCTCACCTCTGTTCATGAGGAGAAATTAAAAAAAATTTCCTAATCAAAAATCATTAAAAGATTATGATGCATATTATTAAATGTTGCTGAGGCTTTAGAGATCATATGTTGCAGCAAGTTGCAAGAGCCTAAGATTAAAACATCAAACTCTAAGCAGTTTGTTGTAACCTCCCACCACTGTTGTTTACCAAAGGAGCAGCCTGCAGTAGTTTATGTAGATTTCAAGAGTCAAAGTACAGAGGACAGGGTTTCAGACACAGACAGTGCTGTGGAGGCAAATGAGGGATATTAACTCGTGCTTCAGGCCAGAATGTTGCACATAAAAGGGAAAAACAAAAAGACAGAAATCAGCACTCACAGGAAGTTTCTACAAGTAGTGTCTGAAGTCATAAAAGTAGGATGTAGCAAAAAATAAATTAAATACAGCATTACAAAAGAGCAACACAACAATGTGAATATTTTTCAGTTACTGAACTCTTCCCCTTTCTCCCTCTCACTCTCTTTAAGATGCACATCAAGAGTCAAGAAGAAGAAAACAACTGGCAGCTTAATCAATGAAAATGACTTTACTTGCAGCCCTATAACAGACCATTACATAAAGCAACACAGTTCATTATATTTCAATTTCAGTCCTTTAAATATTCAACTAAAAAATGTAAGTATGGTTCCTGATTGCTGCCAACACCTCAGACTTTAACATTTTTTTTTTTGTGATTCTTAATAAAGTGAAATGAAACATGAATCTAGTCTAATTGTTCTTCTAGTAAAGACACAGGAACATCTCTACTGTCTCTATCCCTGCTCCTCTTAACAAAGACCAGGATTACCATGGTAATTCCCATATAAACCAATTGTCCTGCAGTGGTGGAGGGGGGGTTAATAAGCCTGTAGAAATGACTGAACAGCATCATGAGCAAGACTTTAATAAATCGCACAAAGCTTTATTGTTCATGGTGTTGTATACAGATAATTAGGGCTGCAACTAATGATTACGCTGCAGATTTTATTCTCAATTTGTTTGGGTTTGCTTTAAATCGTTTGGTCTATAAAATGTTTTTTTGAATGACATTTTTGCTTTTATTTGACAGTCAGTGAAGAGAAACAGGAGATGACACTCAGCAAAGGGCCCCGAGTCAGATTCAAACCCAGGCTGCTCAGACTTGATATGTGGTACATGCTCTACCAAGTTAGCTGCAGGTGTGCCCCAAAACTGTTAAATAGGCCAACACAATATCCTGGAAACTCAAGATGATGTCCTCAAACGTCTCGCTTTCTCTGACCAACAGAAAACCAAAGGGTTTCAGTTTATTATCACATCTTTCACCCTTTGAAAGTGTGAAGAGTTTCTGGTTTTTCTGTTTTACATTGTTGTAAACAAAACAGGTTTGGGATTGGACTGTTGGCCTCACCACACAAGACATCTGAAGACATTGTAAACAGGCATTTTTCAGGGCTTTCTGGGCTTTCTTGGTCTTTTCCGGCCATCTGATTAATGTAGTTTTTAAAATAGTCAGCAGATAAATTGATAATAAAATTAATCATTAGTTGAAGCCTAAAACACTGATATTATCACTGTTGATATATTATCATTCATATCTGGCTGCCTGTCAAATCTTAAGTCCAATAGTCTCTCTCTCTGGTCTCCACCACCTCCTGAGGGATATATCTGGCTCTTTAGCTGCTCATAGCTGATCACAGTCACAAACTGTGTCTGTCTGCTCTTTACAATAACAAATTTGTGGGCCAGAGAGCTAAACAATGAGCTGAAACTCGTGATAATTCTCTGTAGGTTCATCACTATGATGTAGTCATTTCATACACTGTTGTTATAAAACAGTGATTTAATTAGAAAAGTTGTTCTCATTTGTTTATGACCATCTGTTTGATGATCTGCAGACGTCAGCTGTCAGGTTTCTGGTGCACATCCATCTTTAAAAGCAAGTGCTAGGTGCAACTATTTGTCACCACCTTCATTAGTGCTGATGCTAATGCTTTGGTGTTTTTAACAACACAATTCCCAGAAACAATTAGTTTCGAGAAAATAGTCCTCACTCCTGACAGTCCCAGGTCTGCAAGCCAGAGGTGAGTGAAGTGTATCACTTCCTTTAGTGGCTTTTTTGTTTTTTTACGTGATGAAATATGTTTAGCAAGACGTGACCAAGAAATAAAGTCTGGAATTGGACCCTGTTAGCTTTAGGATAACAAATAAAAAGCGCAATTATATCCATCATTGCTACTGTTTCAGAATTAGAGGCAATGCATTACAGTATTGTCAATAACCTGGAAAGAGATGCTCACATTTACACTATACAAAGGGACTTCTATTAAACCATGGCTACTGTACAAACACACACATAGTGACTCTTATCCAGCCACACACATAATGCTGTCCGGGTCGTTGACTAAAGAAGATTAGATTTTGCTGATCTCACAGATTACCCGTCCAAGTCCATGTCAGAGGGAGCCAACGTCCTGGTCAGAGTCTGGCTAGACAGCGCTGCAAACACAGTACACACACACAGACAGACACACACATATACCACAAGCTAAACAAGTATCCACAGATCACACCGCTGTGTGTAAAACAGTAGGTGCAGTTCAAGCCGGAAGGAGAGCAAAGACAGAGGGAACTACACTGTACAGAGTGTCAGTTTACTGAACAGCAGCGACCTGTTAAGCATTTCCACTGCTATATTTGTAATTCTCATCCTGGAGAGCTGGAAAAAGCACTGAAAATCCAATAAATAAATACAATTCAAGTCCAACTCCTGATATGTTGATTCACACAGGACTAATACTGTCAGATGTGTTTTCTGGCATATGGAAGGCAATTTTCACTGGATTTTTTTTTCTACTTTACACACGAGGCAGATTTGCAAAGGATTAAATGGGCGACTTTTGCAGTCATTACAAATAACACAGTGACCCCAGCTAATACTGGAGCAGGGTGAATAGGGGTTTTGTTATTCCAGCTAAGCACAAGTCATCTCCTCTCTTTGTCAAACTTGGATATTCAAGTTATTAAGAGAGAAGAAAAATAATATTTGAGATTTTTCCTGTTGTTTGAGATTACATTCATTAAATGAAACTGCAGTTGGATTGGAAGAGGATGATGTGTTTAGGGCTGAAGCTACAGTTAATTTAACTGATGAATCTGTCGATTATTTTCTCAAATAATCAATTAAGGCAATTTTATGGAAGGAATGACACCTGGCGGTGGTGTAATCTAAATGAAGAAAAGATCATAACAATGATTTCCATGGTGGAGAAGATATACATTGAGAGCTACTCTTGCAGATCATCAGGTACATGTATCTATCACAGGGTCAACAGTGCTGCCACTAGTTTAATGTTCAACACAAATTTGGTCCATCTTGTTTGTCATATTTCATTGTAACACCTCCATCTTTCAGTGAGTTATGGGCCATTTAGTGACAGCAAAGTGTTTCAGAGTCAGCTAAACAACCACTCTAACAGCATCTGCTGTGTTCCTGCAGAGTCAGACACAAACAGAGCTTCACTTTGTTCAAATCCAAAACTTTTTAATCTGCTAAAATTAGATCCCTATCCTGAGGGTGTCTTTCAGAAGACACAGGAAGTGACTGCTGGACAGATACTGGAGCTGATAACCATTTTCCTACTGACTTTTGTGCTTTACGGTATTTTTTTGCTTTTAACAGGAAAATCCTCTGAATCAAATTCTGTCTCTGGTGCAGCACAAGAGAAAGCAGCTTTACTTCTATTGTCTGTCATCCGATTAGTTAAGAGCATCTTGCTGAGAGAATAAAAATTAAGCTTCACACTGCTTACCTGCATTTGTAAAATAACAGATGGCATTGTAAACTGACACCATATTGTTTTTTTTCTTTTACTAATGTCACAGCAGTTGTCTCTTTAAAAGGTCTCTTTAGAGTTTTTCCAAAGCCAGAACCCTTTGAAAACACCCAGTTTGTTTCTCTTCTAGTTTGGGAAAATGGCAGCAAACCAACTAAACTGAGTGAATACAGAGCGCATTCACAGCTACAGCCACAACTATTAATCAATTATTCAACTATTTTGATAATCAAATAACAATTTTAGTTTTATTTAATGTTTAAACAAAATTGTCTAATATTTGCTGTTTCTTCAGATATGATATTAATTCACACATCACAGTCAAGTAAATATCTTTGGATTTTGGACTGTTTCTCAGACAACACAAGACATTTGAAGAGGTAACTATGGTCTGTGGGAAAGTTTAATGGGCATTTTATACAATTTACCTTTATATTATAGTCAGAACAATTAATTGAAAAAATAATTGATAATGATGCTAATCATTACAGCCTGAGCAGCAGATATGAAAGCATCTGTGTGCTCTGGAGTGTATGTGACACTAAATTATTGCATTTAGTCCACAAAACAAAATAAATTCCGGTCAGGCTCTTGACTGGAATAAACCCTGAGTAGAGGAAATCAAAAAGGCCAGTATTTTTCTCAGTGATGGAAACGCCACAGGCCCAGATGGCATTCCTGCCCGAGCCAAGTAAATGCTTCATGCATACTCCAGGCATGCTGCACAGGAGGAAGCAGTTCCACAGACTACAAAAAACAGGCCTTAGAGGTTTACAGTAATACTAAAGCAAATGTCTGAGACCACTGAGCTGCTGTCAGAAGAGGTCTGCAGAGATCAAAGTGCCGCCCAGCAGCACACACTGAAGCAATCGATCAAGTATCACCGAGCCAGGTCTATTAGGTTAATTAGCCAACTGCAGTCGTTGTGGTGTCAACTTTAAATCTGCTCCGTATACATGCAAATGGTGCACGTTTATCACAGAAGCAATGGTATGAAAATGAACCATAGTGTAACAACAGCTTCTGTACAGTCCCTAAAACTGGAGACAGAAAAAGAGAGAGACACAGAGGAGTCTGTTGATTTAATCTCCAAACATTTGACTGAGAGTCTTTTGTACTCTGGGCTTTATCAAGAGCAGATATTTTTCTAACTCTATCTGTCAAGATGTTTTAGCTGAAAAACTGTCAGCTGAGAGACAAAAGCAGAAACAAGGGAGGCAAAGTATTTTAGCACAGACTAAGAATAAAGACAGCACTGGCCTTAATATATCTCATATAACATTCTTAATAAAATTAACTGATTTGTAATTAATCTTCACTGCTATATAAATGTTTTTTGGTTTTATATAATGAAATATAAAAACGTCACACTAAAAGTCACATGGCAGCTTGCTTGATCACACATGACCCAAATGTGACAATAGGAAAAGTCTAAAAAATCCCACTGATATGTCAAACACAGAAAAACTACTTAACCCAAAGAAACAGGAGTCACAACACTGATTGAAAATCACTCTAACACACCCACCTAAAATGACTGATTAGAAAAGCAATTTCATCAAAATTACTACAGATGGTTATAAAAAAGCATTAACAATATAATGACTGCAAAATAATATAAAACCTTATTCCAAACCAGTTTCAGCCAGCATAAAAATAAATTAGTGAACATAGACACAAAAAGATTTGATATATTACTGAAGTCCATATTTAGAGGTACTTCAATGATCATGTTTAAAAAGCTATTATTAGTAAAAACATAAAAGTACATCTAAATCCTGTGTTGCATCAGCTCGACAGCTTTTGTTTTATTGCTTATGAAAAAAACCACAAATGAAGAAAATCATTTGAGGACTGTGGGGAACAACTCCCATTAAAATTTGCATCCAGTGAGGATAGAAACTCTTAAGACAGTCTGCACCACTCTTTGTTGTTAAAAAATAATGGCTTTCTGAGCTGTGTGAAATGTTAACTTTGTAATTGCAACAGTCAAGCCCAAACAGCCAAAAAGTTCCATACAAAATAACTGCAGTTTAACACGCTGTACCCACACTGAAGATTATAATCACAAGCCAAATTGTCCAGGAATTATGAGTATACATTCGAGAACCTTCGACATTAGATTGTGAGAGAGTTGAGTGGATGTCAATGCAGACACCAGAGTAAAAAAGCAGGAAATCTCATTGTAAATGGTAAATATAAATGACTAGTATTAGACATATTTTCAAGGGGTAAACCCCTGTTTTATGTGTCTTACAAAGATGGGAATAGTTAAACGAGTTGAAACCAACACAAGTCAAATTTACAAGTCTGAAACAAGTCGACCACCATTGTGAAAACAGAAGTATAATGTATGTTTTTTCACGCATCTTGGTTAAGACTGCAACTAACCACTATTTTCATTGTCAATTAATCTGTTGATTATCCATGTGATTAATGGATGAGTCTATAAAATGTATCAAACCAGTGAAAATTCCATCACAGTTTCCCAGAGTTCAAAGATAATCTGTTAATGGTAACCTGCACCCAAAGATATTCAGTTTACTATAGTAAGAAACGAAGTCAAATAAGCAAATAATCACATTTAAGAAGCTGAAACTTCAGATTTTTGTTTGGGATCGTTTACTTCACATATTACTGACAAGGCAGATTCACACAGTAAATACACTAGACCTGTGTGAATGGAGCTTTGTCATTTCTGCTGAGCATTATAAAATCATCTGCTCTCTCGATCAACACGTAAACTTAGATATTAATGTTATAAAAAGAAGAAAGTGGAATGTGAGCGTTGACTCAGTGTCCTCAAATTATTTGTTTTGTTTGACCAACAGTCCCAAACCCAAAGACATTCAGTTTACAGTGATATAAAAATGGATAAAAGCAGAAAAATCATCAACTTTGAGAAGCAACACTTCAACACTTAATCAATTATCAAAATATTTGCAGATTAATTTGTGTCAATTGATTATTTTACTACTTGTTCCAGCTCAAGATTAATTTAGTATACCATTAGTGGTGAAAATAACAGTTTGAACAGTTGTAAAAGTCATTTATAGCAAGTCACTTAATTACTGCTGACAGCACATGATAGACTCTATGCATTAAACTTACTTATCTGTCGACTTATCTGTCTGGAAAAAACAAGCACTGTGATGGTGTAATTGGGTAATCTAGGTAATTGTCATGGCCATTTCTCTGAATTTTTATAAACCAAACAATCAGTTGCTGAATACGTAAAGAAAATAATCAGTAGTTGCAGTCCTTTATAAAATAGCTAAAAATTCAAATTCAATGTATAATAATCGTATGACATAATACACTCAGTTGGTTATTTTCCCTACTCTCATTGATATAAATGGGGTGGACAAAATAATAGAAACACCTCTCTGTATAACGCAATACAACTCAACAGCATCACAAACAGTTTGAAATAAACACCCCTGAAGCTGAACATTAAAACCATCATGAAGGAGAAATTATTGCAGGGCTGTTGTATTAGACTGCATAAGTTTTGTCTAGGTTTACCTAATAAACTGTCTAATAAGGCTCACAAAGGCCATTTGTTCTGCATTAACCACTTTAAATATTTTAATTACATTTTCCTGATTATACATAAATAGTTTTGGCTGTTTTGCTTCTCTCCGCATCTGTCTTTTGTCTCTTTCTGGTTATTTTGTCTGTGCTTAATAGGCTCAGTCAATAATCAATCAATGTGTATTATAACTTTAACTTAAATAAAGGATGTGAATACTTCCTCCATCACTTACAAGAGAACCCTTTTATAACGTGAAATATCTGAATGACCACATTTGTTGGTGGGTAGCACATGCACGTGACTTATTTCAGGGCACAAAACCTCGATTTTTATAATTAGGTCATTGGATCAGGCGTGAATGAACACACACAACCTCCCACAGGAACCCGATTTAGACATGACAGACATTAGTCACTGTCTAAGTACTACTCTCCTGTTTTATATTTAAACCCTTGTCTCCATAATTACTAAAAAAAAGAGCTTAACCTAACAGACAGGTGACTTGACAGATGTGATATCACACTGCACGTTGCTCTAAGAGAAAGAGGCTGATGTTTTGGGATAACTGTCCGGTCTGGTGAAGGAGGAATGCCGCGTGATTGTCGTCTGTTTGTCCTTGTGGAGCTCTAATCCTTTGCTAATCTCCCTGTACACGAGAACTAGTTACTTTCTATTTTACACCCCGTCATTCATAAAAAAAAATGTTACTGGGAACATTTTAGGAACAATCTCACTGTTTCTCCAAGTTCTGTCTTAAGTTAATTTCTCTCTGGTTTTCTTAATCAAAGCAAGTCATTCTAGCCCAGGTGTTGACAGGTAGCTAGCTGTTACCCAACCTAGCGTTCAGATGATACATGTGACATCTCCCCACCAACAGTACGTCATTTAAATCAAGACTTCATCTATACATGTATAAAATGTCAGGTAGGAGTACTTGTGGCCCGTTATGTTAAGCTACCAGCTAGCCAGAAGTAGCTGCTGTAGCATGAAGACAAAGATTCGCCAAATGACGTTTAAAATATTGGCAATTAAAGAAATTATAATAATCTCTACACAATTTTGAGATAGCAAAATTCGTCTTAACCTTTTCAGAACATTAGTATGAGCAAAGTCATCAATTCGGTGTACACTTAACACATAGCTAATGCAGCATTTATTTAAACAGAAGAGAAAACCCTCACTAACAGTCGTTCACAAATGCTCGCTGCCACCGCCCTCCAAAATTACACCGTTAACAGCAAGGAAAAACGTTTCACATAGTGTTTTGTCTTATGTCTGAACTGAAACTCATAGTAACGTTTTACACAATTTTAGTCTCGCTTCACAGTTGTAAAGTAGTGCTATTTTGTCTAAGAAGCAAGTCAACCTTAAACTGACACATTTCTGAATGGAGTTTGGCGTACGCGACCGTGACAGCTATCCACAGTTAGCAAACCTCATGCTAGCTAATTTAGAACTGACGAAATACCTTACCTTGTGCAAACTGAACACTGTATATCTCGCTGTGATGTTAGCTGGATCATAGAGGCATCTGGTTAATGTCTTAACTCCCAGTTAAAGGGTCCGAAACACGGTAATATTAGCCCGGTAGCAGAGAAGCGGTAGCCTGCTGCGGTCGCCGGGTCGCCTCTTCTTGTATGGCTCTCTCTGCCAGAGGTTATTGGCTGTTTCCTCCTTCCAGGAAACGAAGACGGGCGGGATGTTGCTTTCAAGGTTTCGTCCAAAATCCACCTTTCAAGTAAAATAGCTAATTCTCAAATCAGATGTTTATTTAATACACAAATTAGCCATCTAATTAACTGATATGCTGCAGCTGAGGATCATAGAGGATCTATGATCATAGAGGATCATAAAGGAAGAAAAAAAAACATCCGGAAACATGCAGTTCACCAACAGCTGTAGATATCAGCACTTTTATGAGGAATCAGCCTGTGTATTTGCAAATATCCATAGGGTCCACGAATTAAAACAGAAAAACGCATTATTTTCATACGATGTTAGACAATAACATGAAAATACAGTGAATTAAGGGCCGTGATGTGAATTCAGTCTGGTCCTTAAACGTCCCAGTAGCTGGAAAATCAGACAGGAGCTCAGATTTATGACATAATTATATATTAAAATCATTATCTCATCACACTTTTCCTCCAGTATTTATGATTTTGCTGAGTCATTCACGCATCCCTGCGAATTAGTTGTAATTTTAGAATTTTCACATAGTTCTTGAATGCAGCATTTATAGTAACACCACCACTGTTTTTTTTATCATTACATGCTTTGATGATTGTACTTGTTCCTTACCATTTAAAACACGTTGTTAATACAGTATTGCTCAGTATGACAAGATTTGTATTACAGGGTATGACAGTTATACAAGGCCAGTGGACAGTGGTGGAAGAAGTATTCGGATACTTGAGTAAAAGTACCAAAACAGCAGCATAAAAATGCTCAGTTTCAAGTAAAGGTCCTGTATTCAAAAACCTACTTCAATACAAAAGTATTGGCAGGTGAATGTACTTGCAGAAAAATAACCCTGTAAATGATTTATTATTATTATTATTATTATTATCACTGAATTATATTAAAATTCTGATTTACATACTGTTTGGTAGCTTATCTTATAACAATCCATCATACATGAATCTCATTATCCTTCACTGTTTATGGACACTAAATCAATTTCTGCACTTTTAGTTCAAGTTCAACACTGGTCATTGGTACAGCATGTACAGTAAATTTTTAACCTTGACAAATTGAATTAAATACTGTTCTTATACTATTCTTATTCTAATGCTCTAATATCTGGAATGACAAAAACTTTTTATCTTGAGCCCAGTATTTTTCCAATTTGATGGATTTCCATAATGACAGTGGGCTAATGAGCCATTGAATTAAAAAGAGAAACATTTAATTTGCTGTAGACAACACCTCTGATCTAGGTTGAAGTGAAGTGTTAAAAAAGCAAAAGTAAAAAATAAACCTTTTTGTGACTTTCTTAATACTGCATAAGAAAAGTAATGTTATAACACTCAAATGATTCATTACATCTAAACAAGCTGGACTTCCAATCTTGTGTTTAGGGTGTCACATGATGTAAAAGGGGATTCCCACTTAAATCAAAGAAAACATTTAAGTCCATGTATTTGTTTTGCCAGGAGCTGTTCTGGTTTATGAATTTGTGACAGCATAAGGTAGCATACTGTTTCACATGATGGATATTAGATACTTTATTTATCCACTCGGGGAAATTCATGTGTCCATTAGCTCATTGTTAATAGTAATAATAATAATAATAATAATAAACAGTTGATAATAAATAAACAATAATAATTAGATTAGTCCACTTCCTTTGGCTGAGGTGTTGTATAGCCTGACGGCAGTGGGAACAAAGGATCTCCTGAACCTCTCTGTTCTGCAGCGCAGTGAGATGAGACGTTTGCTGCAGCTGTACCTGCTTCTCTGTCCAGCCAGAATGTTGTGGAGAGGATGGGTGGTATTGTCCAAGATGGCCTCCATCTTTCATTGCATGCATCTCTCCACAACAGTCATGAGTGAGTCCAGAGTCCTGCCAAGCACAGACCCAGCCTTTTTTTTTTGTACCAGAGTGTCCAGTGTCTGTGTTCATGTCTGACATGCTACTGCATGCAGAAAAGTACACTGGCCACCACTGACTGATAAAACATGTGCAGAATTTTACTGCAGACATCAAAGGACCTGACATTAAACTGCAGCAAATGGGAAAATTGTTCTTTTATTATTCATTTATCCATGTAATACATTCATTCACCAAAACGTTGCTGACATCAATTCCCATTTTGGGAAAAAAAAAAAAAAGGTTTGCTCCTCAAACTGTTACAGTATAACAACACTGACAGTTACAACAATTATCCTCAAACCATTAAAAATAGCTTCGAGAACATTTGTTCGTATCCACATTCAGTAAATGTTACACATTAAAGAAAAATGTACAAAAAAGGAATAAATTATAGAGGGTTATTAAGATTTTGAACGTGTGTTTTAACCGGTGCATCTTTTCTAGACTTTACGGCTTTGGTTCAGCGGCACAGGAAACTCATAGACCAATCGCATGCGTTGTACATCATATCATGTGATGCCATTCAGCCAATCATTGCGCCTCGAGTTAGTGCGCGATACACACACACAGACAGACACAGACACACAGGGAAGAGACAGTAGTCAGAGAAAAAGTGAAAGGAAAGCAGGGGAGTGGGATTATATAATGGATGACAGTATTTGTTTTTGGTTGTGATGTTATACTGCAGACACTGATGCCCAAGGCACTGGGTCAAAAAAAGTCTCTTAACTTATTTTAGATGGAAAGAAAGAAAAGTTAAAGCTGATCAATTCAAAAGTTAACAATAAAAAGAAGGAAAAGGTAAACTCAAGCTATTTTTTTTTTTTTTTTTTTTTTTTAAATTAAGCAATTTTAAAAAGGTGCACATTTTCAAAAGCTGTTTATTAAAGCCCTTATTTTCCTTGAAATGAGAAAAGAACATTCAATTATTATAAGACTACATATTTTTAATCTCTCCTTGCTTGAGGGATTTTACCCGTGGAATAGAGAACTGCTATAACCAAGCTTTGCTGCTTGTCCTTTCTCTCCTTTACCTTCCTAACTGGTCCCTTTAAAGTTACCCACAGTTAACATTTATTTCATCAATAAAACATAATACCAACAATATTAAGGTTTCAATGCCCACCTCCATTTCTCCTCCACGCAGCCTTCCCCCTGCTCCTGTAGTTGGCTCTCTGATGCACAAATACTCACGGTCTGTTAACCATTGTGAGCAAAAATAAATAAATCTTGCTGGTCCTAAGAATAGTTGGTCAAGAAGAAGCTATTTTAAAGCTGACATATGGATTAAAAAAAAAATATATATATATCAGTGGCCTGTGTAACTGAAGAAGAGCAGCGTCAGGTTACACCATGATACAGCAGACTCAGTTTCACGTCTTCATGTTTATTAAAATCAGCTAACACTCCTTTGAGGACCGAGCTGTGGATTGTGTTATTTCAGGAGAGAACATGAAGGCACTGTGCCTAATACTTGTCATTACTACTCAACAGTTTAACCATTTGCGTTACACACAGGCAGCACATGGATTTATCTGCCCAGTACGGTGGCCAGCAGGGCCATTCGGATGTACATGCCGTTCTCCGCCTGACGGAAATACGCAGCTCTCGGGTCTGTGTCCACCTCCGCACTACAAGAAAAACACAGCAGAAAGTGAAATAGAGTGTTTCAGCACATCATGTTGGAATTAAGACTAAAATAATGTGTACTATCTAATAGTATGTTCTACTACACCAGTCTAAGTATTTTTCAAATGGACGACATGTGAAATTTGTTTTCAAGAACAAATCCGATCAAATCAAGTATTACTGTATTGACATAAAATTATATTTTGTAGCTCCCAAACACCTTCCTAATGTAACTGATTGACAAAACAATTAATCTTTTAATTTATTTTTTTAATATTGTTAACTATCATAAAAGGGTATTGTTTACTATTTTCTGACATTTTATAAACTATTTATTTATTTAAGATAATTGGCAGTGAAATTTTGTTTAAAAATCTTATCTAAAAATGTATGGTACGCTTTGGAAACCACCAGAATCCTCAAACTGCTGTATTGCTCTGACAAATAAGATTTGATTTGGAAAATTCTGAGACAGTGAAGAGTCGAATATTGTTCTGAACGAGTGAAAACAAACATGAGGTCCCTTCATGAGAGTTGTAGCCAATTCTGTGATGTGATGTGTGATGGTGCCAAGTGAGCTTTACCTGATTTCATTGACTCTGGGTAGTGGATGCATCACCACCATCTTCTTTTTGGCCACAGTCATGATGTGAGGAGTGAGGATGAACTGACCAAAACACTGAGAGAAAAACACACTGCTTTTTAACCAATGACCTAAATGTGTGTGTTTTTAAAGAAGTTTCAGGATCATTTGCTTACCCTGCTCTGAAGAGAAAGTGAAAGCAGTTGAGGAAATGAAAATTAGTTTACTTACGGCCTTGTACTCCTGCTCAGATGCAAACCTCTCCTTCTGGATCCTGGTCATGTAGAGGACGTCGGTCTCAGGCAGAGCTTCTTCAATACTGTCAAACTCCTCCTGCAAGCAGATAAAAATACACAACACTTTAATTCTCAGTTATAAACTCATAACACCTTTCAGGAACATTATTAAGAGATGTGAACATGTTTAAACCTTTAGTGAAATAGAAATGTATCTGATTATATTGTCCTCAACATCTGCTTTGCTGTTGCGCCGCTTTTTTGTCCCCACCTGTTTGATGCCCTTTGAGGCCACATAGTTGATGATCTCTGTTGGCATGTGGAGGTTTTTGGGAGCCACATAGCGCAAGGTGATGCGGTACTGTGTCAGCAGTTTGGCGAGGGAATGAACTGTGCGGCCATGTTTCAGATCTCCAACCATAGTTATCTGACAAAAACACAAGAATAAATGAGTTATAACAGTTTTTCTTCACATAGATTTGCTCTAGGTTAAGATTTCTAAGAATTCAAGGATCAGGATTTAAATCTACAGGACAGTTTGTTAGTCTCACCGTCATGCCATTGACCGTCCCCAGCTCCTCTCTGATAGTGAAGACGTCCAGCAGGGCCTGGGTTGGATGCTCACCCACACCGTCTCCAGCATTGATCACAGGCTTACGGCAATGACGGGATGCACTCTGAATGCCACGGAGCAGAGTATAAGTAAGTTTTATTGTCTTGGAAAAAAACTAATTTTATTTAGTCGAGTATCAACACTTGAGCAGCAAATGGTGAAGAGATATCATTTCAAAAAAAAAAAAAAAAAAAAAAAAAAAAAAAAAAAAATCCCTGTCCACATCCGACCCAAAACCCACCTCAACAGCTCCAGGTGTTGGGTGTCGCAGTACCAGAACGTCTGTGTAGCAGCTCATGGTCTGAACAGAGTCGGCCAGCGATTCTCCTTTTTGCGTGGATGAGGTGGATTCACTGAAGTGGACGACCGAGCCGCCCAGACGCTGCATGGCCGCGGCAAAGGAGCTGCTGGTGCGAGTGCTTACCTCGTAGAACATCGACGCCATCACCTTACCCTGACCAATAAGAAAAAAAGAGCTGCTTACTGGGCTGTGTGTACAGTAGCATGTACACATGATCCTGTGTGTACAGTAGCATGTACACACAGGAACAAAGTGACATAAACTTACTTCAATAAAAAAAGATGTTGCTTTAATGGTTGGATATTTAGATATGCAGGGGTTGATTTGCAGTTCTGTGGATTTGTAATTGTCAACAAACAATAAGATGAGCAGCTTTTTGACGATGACCTACCTTCAGGATTTCCAAGCTTCGCTCCTTCTGAACCATCAAACGCAGAGTGTGGGCGACATTGAAAAGGTGCGAGATCTGAACAAAGAGAAAACACACAAAACTGAAAAACATCTTACATACCAGACAATGTTCTTTTATTTTGTAAATGAGTACAACTTGGTGATTTGTGTGTCATCTGCTCTGTGTGTACCTGATTTTTGCTGAACTGCCTGACGGACAGGATGTGCTGGCCAATCAGCGGGTGTAGGAACGGAGATGTCTGGAAGTGGGATGTAGGTATGGGCCCTGGTCCTGACTGAGGAGACATCAGCCTGGACAGAGGAGGAGGGTGGCTGTAACTGTCTCCAGCTCCAAGCGGTGGGAGCATGACCATCTCTGCGGGAGGCAGAATGACACAGTGTACAGATTACATCTATTAGTTAAACACAGGAAACCTATTGTGAAACTGACATGATCTAGTTGTGGCGGTCGTACCTGGTGGCAGTCCAGGATCAGAGGACCGGTGGGTGCGGGGTGGCAGCAGGTAGCGTCCCTCTCCTGGGCCGCGGCGAGGGCTTGGTGCTCGGGTTCGGACGGGGCCCTCACGAGGAGGAGTGGGACGAGGATGCTCTGGAGTCTGAACAATAGGAGGTGCAGTGAAAACACAACCTTAGAATAAATGGATATAACATCCACCTGTAAAAACAGTACTGACACAATACAGTGGTTTAAGTATAGTCTGAGTCAAATAATATTGCAACAGACATAACACTTTTAATACCACAGGGGTTTCTTTAATAGGCTCAGGATGAACTGAAGCAGTCGGCCATGTCTTCACATCTTCACCATAACCTGGAGGAACCAACACCTAAGAGAGAGAGAGTGAGAGAAGTATTATGTTAAATATTCCTTTTTCTTCCCTCCTGTGTAATCATTCCACTGTAACACTGGCTACAATCGACATGGACAGTAAACAAGAGCACATAATGAATTAGTTTGATGTTTCATAGGAAAACTGAGGAAAAACTGCTTTAGGTCTTGATTGTGGATATTTGTCTCATTTGAAAACTGACTGGAGGTCAACTGCAAAAAACTTTATGGCTGTTAACTGTAACTTGCAGCAGTTAACTGGTAGTCTTTCTATAACTAACTAACAGTTTAGATGACTGTAAAGGTGAATGAAAGAGAAATTAAAAGGAATTCCTGAGTAATAAGATTACATGAACCCTGATATTTTTGCCTATAGGTAAATGCAGCCCCTTCGAGCCTGTGAACTACAACAAATGAAAGTGTGTGTGCGTGACTGCCGACCTGTCCATCGATGTAGGCCACCTCTCCTCGTAGAACCACACGCCGGACTTTACCCTTCACCTTCAGACCTTGGAAAGGTGTCCATTTAGACTTTGTGAACTGCATGGCCTGAGGAATAAGCCACTCCTGCTCCAGGTCCACCTGTCCGCAAAGAAACAATCAGTAAAGCACACAAAACCAAGACAAGGTGATGGTCATGTAGAAATCCTGTCCTATAATATCATGTGTTTGAGTGTACCTCCACATAAGTGTTTTCCTGGACAGGCAGGTTGAAAATCTTGCGTGGGTTGTCATAGAGACGTCTGATAATGTCATCCAGAGTTAGACGTCCATCGCTGACAGCGGTCAGCAGCAGCGGCAGCATGGTTTCCAGGCCGGGGTAACCAGGAGGAGGGTTCTCAGCGTTCTTCTCCTCAACACTGTGAGGGGCTAACAACACATAAACATAATGTTATCACATGTACTCTCTTCTTAAGGTCTAAATATACAAAGACACAACACAAAGACAAAATGATATGATCAATCGGTAGACTGTTTTCTGTGGTTAGTGACTGAAATATAATGTGCTACCACTCACCGTGGTCCGTGGCAAAGCAGTCAATGATGTCCATGTTTTCCCAGAGTGCCTCCATGTCCTCACGGGTTCCCAGCATGGGTCGGACCTGTGCCCGTCCATTGCCGATTTCAGACAAATTGTCCTCACACAGGAAGAGGTGATGAGGCGCCACCTCACACGTGACCTGGATGCCCTTCTGCTTGGCAGCGCGGATGATGAGGATCTGAAAGCGGTAACGAATAATAACAATCCTCATGGAGACGAACTAGGTCAGCAGAGCAGCAAGAAGTCACAAGTTTGAAATAATGTAGGAAAGAATATAAAATGATACATTTGATATAAATATTCTAAGTTTTATATCTACAGCATTATGAAGATAATGTGCTTTTGTCTTTGACTGTTTAATATTCAGGTGCTGTGCATGCACAAGAATTTTTAGACAAACTTCAATCAATCAATCAATTACTAATCTAACACACAACATTTTTCTTTTTAGCTGTGAAGTTCTGCACAATTTGGTTTATAAAATCATGATAAAAACTTCTAAAATTAAATAGAAAAAAACAGTCCTCTACCTCCTCCTTCTTGGCCACATGGCAGATGTGGACTGGTCGCTGGTAGAGCTGAGCCACCATCAGGATTGCAGCGACTGTCTGCTTCTCAGCGTGAGCCACGATGGGCATCTGCTTGGGCCACTTCTCAAAGTGCTTTAAACAGAACCAGAAAGGTTAGTCCACAGGGTGGGAAAATAAGACAAGCTTCCAGTTGGTCTTAATGTAGAAGCAGGTGAAGATGCAATTACTCTAATGACCACTAGATGCTGGGTGCAAATTCCAAGACTGCCTTCAAGCCAGTAATGTTTGGCCCAGTGTGATTTTTTAACTCAAATAAAGTTGGTTTTTTGAGAGTAGTGACTCAGCTTACCTCCATCCAGAGAGAGACATTGTCCATCTTGAGGGTGGAGTACGTGTCGTTCAGGTACATCTTTAGGCCGGCAGCCTGGCTGGCGATGGACGGCAGGACAGCAGCGTTGTCTGAAGCAGCGCCCACATACAGGGCGTAGTCACACCTGCAGCCTGCTTTGGCCAGCTGATGATACAACACAAACAACATAAAACGTTTATTTCATTTCACTTCAACTTGTATTACATACACGTGAAAGACAGATTCAAAACAAAGAAAATCCAGGCATTATATTAACATTACTTTGATGTCACATTGAGATTTATGTATTCGATTTATCTGCTACAACCAGAGCATCAACATCACTCACCAGCTGAATCAGGCAAATGAGTCAGGTTTTAATTAAGAGAAATAAACAAAGAAAATCTGGACTTACCTTCTGCACCAGAGCCATTGTACTGGGATCAGTGATGGCAGGGGAAGTGTTGGGCATCGCACACACCATCGTCACCCCTCCTGCCAGAGCAGCCGCTGTACCAGAGGAGAAGTCCTCCTTATGTATAGCACCAGGCTCCCGCAGGTGAACATGGACATCGATCAGGCCTGGAAATAAAATCACAAACAACATATTTTACAGTTTTTAATTAAAAACCATTCTCTTTGAAACTCTTATTCTGGTTTTGATCATATTCAGGATATAAGCTAGAAAAAAAAAGAAAAAGTTAAGTGTTACTATTTTTCACAAAAGTTTAGACTGGCAGTGATGGTGTAATGAATTGACTGTTGCTCTTCAAAGCCACCAAGAAGAATTAATATGCTGCACCTGTGGTTGGGGTCAGTGACAAACGACCTGACGTTATGAAAGAAAAAAAAAGTCTGTACATTTTGCAGCTACAAAACACTCGCCACTCAGAATAGAGCAAGACATTGATCAACAAGGACCTTTTTCTGCTGGTTACAGTGACTCACCAGGGAGACGGACCAGTGTCTGGGAGGCCATGCTGTCAATGTGAGTTTTCACTGGTGGAGTCCTACCGATCTGATGCAGAGCCTGCAACACACCAGAGCATTTTACTCATGTTGACCTCCAACTATAGGCAAGTATTTGTTTTATCTAAGTTGCCAATCAATGTTAAGAGGATTACAATAACAAAACAGAGACAATTTACCTGAACAAAGAGCTTAGTGCACTTGATGTCGATGATGAGTGGGACAGAGTAGTCGATGGCCATGCGTCTTGTCCTGTAGCCTTTGGTGACGAAGGACGAGAGCCGACGACCTCCGCTGTTCCTCATGGAGAGGTTGATGACCAGGTCGAAGTGGTTCTCCTCCAGGTAGTTCATGATGCTGCGTTGTTTCTCCTTGGGACATTCGCTGTCGTCCTCTTCGAATGGCCAATCCACTGCTGTCACCTGGAGAGGAGGAGTTAGATCAAAGAAGTCGGAGGAATAGAGGAAAGGAACGGTTTCGATGCTTGGCCATTATTTGTCTTCATGTTTTTGTTTTGTTTTATGACTGGTCAGGATATAATAACTCATCCCTTGGGTTACTGTGGCATTTCATAAACTGGGTATTTGATGGCCTTCATTTCGAAAAAATACTGTCATTGTAAGGCCACAAAACACACACAAGATACTGAGGACTAAATATTTAAATGAAGTTGTCTATAACTTAAATAAAGCCAACATTTGTTACACCAGAGATTCTTGGTTTCACTCCACATCAAGTCAATCTCTAGGTGCCAACACTTTGATTTCATGAATCATCAATGTTTCCCCTTAAGTTAACTGAGAGGAATATCTTCTGTTACCTTGACTCCGTGCTCTGTGTAGAAATCTGCAGTACCCAGACTGGCGTATAGGTCATAACCCATTGACTCCAGAGCCTGCACAGTGGGCAGCAGTTCACTCTTGTTCTGCAAACACACACATCAGAGTAAATAAACAATCTGGCTAATTAATACAATTATTTTAGCTGGAAAAAAATGAATTGAAACACAATAAGGCTGCAGCAATAAACTAACAGTTATCAGCTCTGGACTAACTAAATAAAGTCTCCTTGTTTTTTTTATGTCAAATCTTTAATTTCACAGATAATAGTTCAATTTCTTTCTTAGCAGTTTGCCTTCTGGTAAAAACTGTTAATAATACCTTGTAGCTGCCAATGGAGAGCAGGATGTTCTTCTTGGGGATCTTGAAGCCTGTAGAGAGCATGGCTTTGAGGTAAGCCTCATATCTGTTCTCCCCAAAACAGGCGACCTCTCCAGTGCTGGTCATCTCCACCCCGAGCACCACATCAGCTCCGGCCAGCCGAGAGAATGAAAACTGAGGAACCTGATGCACATGTGACATATGGTTATAGCAGGAATATGTGATATTAGGGTGGAGTTGTTGATAAGCAATGAACACTTCCTCAGACTGAAGCACTAAGGACTGAGATCTTGATATAATAGTCCTAAACAGTCATGGTGTAAGTAAGTTTAGTTACCTTCACTCCCACAATCCCCTTTCCTCTCATTAGGTCCACAGGCTCCACGTCCTCCTTCATAATGGCCTGCGTTGCCAGGGCAACAAGGTCCACGCCCAGGGTCTTGGATACGAAGGGGAATGAGCGGGATACTCGGACGTTGCACTCAATCACCTTCAGCTGGTCATCCTATTACAGAAAATAGCACCAATATTCACCAGCACTGATTTGATAATATTACAATATTTCAACCATTCAAGCTAACGTGGATGAAGGTCTCACCTTGGCAATCAGCTGCAGGTTGAAGGGTCCGGTGACCTGCAACTCCTGGCCGATGGAGTGGACGATGGCCTTGATACTTTCGATGGTTTTCTGATTGAGATCCTGAGGGGGCGTCACCAGTGTGGCGTCGCCAGAGTGAACACCAGCGTTCTCCACGTGTTCAGACACAGCAATAGCCACCACATCCCCATCACGCGCTACTGCGTCCACGTCTATCTCCTGGAAAATGGGAGAAAAGGAAAAGATGCATTCAACTCTTTCCATTGTTAAAGCTTTTAACCACAAGAAAATGACAATGTGATTCTGATCTGATCTTAAAGCTCATCTTCAACTACCACAAGTCAGTGTTTTCAAACCTTGGCCTCCTGTATGAATTTGGAGATGACGACGGGATGTTCCTTGGACACAGCCACAGCGCTACTCAGGTATTTCACAAGATCACTGTCGCTGTAGGCCACATTCATGGCTGCTCCACTGAGAACATAGGAAGGACGAACAAGGCAGGGATAACCCACCATCTCACAGAACTTCACAGCAGACTGGAGAAAGAAGAAATGGGAGGGAAATGAGAAAACTAGGAAACATTTTGTTCAAAGCACAAACTTCTCTTCCTGAATTTAAAAACTATGCAGAAAAAAAAAAAGTTGCCTCTATTGGATCAAAGTGATGTCTTTGAAATAACTTGGTGTGAACCCAGTCCGGTGTACCTCAGTGTCAGAGAGCTCCTTCCACTGTGGCTGGCTGATGTTGATGGTGTCCAGCATTCGGGAAAACTTGAACCTGTTCTCGGCGGCATCAATGCACTCGGGTGAAGTTCCCAGGATACGACACTGCTGGCGGTGCAGCGACATGGCGATGTTGTTGGGCAGCTGGCCTCCCATAGACAAGATCACTCCCTCTGGGTTTTCCCTCTCATAGATGTCCATCACCACCTGAAGTATGCACAAGACACGTATTAATCCACAATCTACACAGGGGTAAGATAATATAATAAACTCTACTTTTTGTTCTAACTGTGTCAGAGAGGCGTTAATTCAGCTTTATTGTATATTTTTGAGGCTGAAGTTTCTTGTTTTTTGTCTCCACCCTAAATTGGAACCTAAATAACTTCAATCAGGTCAAGTTGTTCCTATGATTCAATCTCACATCCCCTTTCTTAAATATTAAAACCTGAAGCTTGATGCAGATGTTTAAAAGAAGACACAGAAGAGCCCTTACCTCAAAGGAGATTTCATCAAAGTAGAGGCGGTCACACATGTCGTAGTCTGTGCTGACGGTCTCAGGGTTGTAGTTCACCATGATGGTCTTATAACCCATCTGCAATAAAAAAAAAGATGACATGAATAAATATTTATTTTGTAGCATTTGGGTTATTAGCTGCCAACTAAAGGAACGTTAAAGAATAATCTTATTTTAATGACAAGAGGGAAGCAAATAAAAACGTATAAACTACACTCATCAAATCAAATTAACCTATAAAGGATGGAATGACCATGGTGGGCCGCAAAAGGATTTACTAATTATAATAATTAAGGCCCAAACCACAGAGCAGTAACTGCAGGTGTCTCATAGGCCAAACTTCATTTCAGTATTGTGAGCTAAAAGACAAGAAAAGCCCCTCTTATCTCCCTCTATCCTCCAGTTACATCTTTTTTTAATTTCAATGTGACAAAATTAGTGTAGATTTTTAATAATGCAGATGTATTTTTAATGTGATGGTGAAACAAAATTTAAACCAAAAAATTGAGATAAGAGTTTAACAAGAAGACACGTTAGCAGATGGAATGTCAAGGAAAAAGATTTATAACAATTTATATTGAAAATAAATTTAATATCATTAATTTTAAAATATTTAGATGATCAGAAATCCCCCCTTATATCTGCTTCAAAATTACATTGTTTAAAATCAAAATTAAGCATCTTGAATATTTTTTTTTTTGTATCATTTAACAACTAATTACAAAACAACCACTGGAAAAAAAAATGTGTGCTACTTTCAGGCCCACAAACCTTTGGCATTCTTCATCTTTATAAAAGCCTGAGCACATACCAGCCAGACTAATAAAAAAGAACAAGCTCTCTTCAGGAACAACAGAAAAATGACTGACACCCGCTGCTGTTTCAGTCATTAGTTAGCCTGGTTTAAAACTCAATAAAGACAAAGTTTAGGACGAATCATTAGGGGAAACCATGAGTCTTATGATGGACTTACCTTCCTCAGCTCTGTGATACACCCCACCGCGCACCAATCAAACTCCACACTGCTGCCGATGCGGTACACACCAGAGCCGATCACCATGACGTGCTGGTTGTTAAAGCCCAGGTCGTTCTGCGTACCGTGGTAGGTCAGGTAGAGGTAGTTGGTGTGGGCGGGCCATTCAGCCGCCACTGTATCGATCTGCTTCACCACAGGCAGGATGGACCAATCGCGACGCAGCTTTCTCACTGCCAGCTCGGTGCTGTGGGGGGGGGGGACACAGAGTTGTTGATTGATGGGAAACAACAGTCCTTATCCAGTCTGAGGTTCTTGAAACAAAAATCATACAAAATACAGCTATATTGATACAAAGGTCTGTATTGACTTCCCAACCCACCTCTGCACAGCCAGAGCTATCTGCTTGTCTGAGAAGCCCAGCTGCTTGGCCTTTCTCATCACCTCTGGAGGCATGGTGCTCTCGTCCTGGTAGAAAGAAAAAGTTGATACAAAACTTCACCAAGAAGAAAATTACTAATTTTTTCCAGGTTATGTTCATCTACTCAATTTCACCTGGTTGTAAGTTTCCAGCAGCCGCTCGTGGTCAGCAATGTTCTTCATCTTGTGCAGGAACCAACGGTCGATCTTTGTGAGGTCGTACAGCTGGTCCACTGTGTAGCCGGCTCTAAACGCCGCTGCCAACACAAAGATGCGCTTGTCTGTGGGAGTCTGCAGCTCCTGGAGATCAGAAAGGGAGACAGCAAGGCACGATTTAACACTTTGATTAGTTCTGGGATATTTTATTTACCTCATTTATTTATTTATCTATTTAACTATTTATTTTATTCATACACTATAAAGTATATATCTATCTATCTATCAGATATGAGCACATTGCTGAGTGACCTAGAGGCTGTAAATATATTTTCTATAACAGCTACGCATACTAACAATTAAATTTTACATTTTAACACACATCTAAACACAAATAAAAACCTTTTAATCCTGGTTTGACCATGTAAAGTTCTTTGTAACATTGTTTTGAAAAGAGCTATATCAAAGTTTATTATTATTAAATAGTTTGCGGTTTGCAGATCATAAACTGTGCAATTACCAGGTATTATCTGCCTGACAGTACAGGGGCTCAATAGCACCATCTGCTGGCCCAGTTAAAAACACCTTAATAGTTATGCTACAGGACCTCACCAGTGGACAGCAGTGACATGTCATTTTGTGATTTATTTGACATGGAAATTTTCCCCTTTTGCAATGTAATCTAAGTTTTAACTGTATTCAACAGCATGTGACATTTTCTTGTCACAATGTGAGACTTTTACTTTATGTTTTAGTTTGCAGGTTTGGACAGAAAATACTTTCTCAGGTTTTCTCCAAAGTGCATTTTAAGTAGTGTTTATTAAAAACAGGTCCTCCTCATAGACAGCTCCCACCTCAACGTGCTGGCCTGACACACTGCTGGTGACTGAAAGGGCAATTTGATATTATGTAAATAAATAATGGATACCAAACAAGTCACTACGGTAACTCTACAGGTATCAGCAGTGGAAACATTTAACAGGGACTCGTGATAATCCGGTCCATAATTCCAATCCATTTTACCTTTTCAGAGACAGGCTTGATAGTGTGGTCAAACCCAACACAGTTCTCATCCACCATCCTCAGAGCTTTCTGGAAGGCCTCCTCAAAGCTGCGGCCAATAGCCATCACCTCACCTGTTGAGGAAAGTATTCAAACTTTGAGCATATCAGTTATGTCCTATATAATACAGCTGTCAGAGCTGATGCACTCTGTTGTTTCTGTGATCCATGCTTTGTCGACTGTAAAACTCATTGTGAACTTGCTTTTGACTCACTCACGTTTTTGTTGCAGTTTTATAAATAAGAGGTTAAGATCTCATCAAATACTTGTTTCTCTTTCCAGCACCAAAGCGTGCGGTTCACAAAATGATGATAAAATTCTGTTTTGTCTCTGCCTCTTACCGACACTCTTCATGGAGCTGCCGATCTTGGTGGAAACCCTGAGGAACTTGCTGAGATCCCAGCGAGGCACCTTCACCACACAGTAGTCCAGACTGGGCTCAAAGTTTGCTGTTGTCGAGTTGGTCACAGAGTTCCTACAGAAAATACATTCCGATTTTTTTGTAAGTTTTATGGGATGTGAAAAAAAAAAGAAAAGAAAAAAAAAAAAAAAAAAGACACAAACAGAGAGAAAAGAATAAAATGTCACAATTTATGCCCTGCTCACAATTTTCTAAACACTGATATCATCTCAACACCTTAGCTTCATTAGTCTTTTTATTATTCAACAAAAAAACGCAAACCAATCGTTACTGTTAAAAATGATCTTGTACAATTTTGTACAAGTAAAGCTAAGAAAAGTGAACACATATTCAGTACTTGACAAAGACACCAATCTGAGCTCAAGTTTGATGATCTACATGACGTACTTCAGCTGTGGCAGTGGGATCCCAAGGCCAAGTTTAGCCGCTACATAGGCCAGAGGATAACCTGTCGCCTTACTGGCCAGAGCCGAACTCCGCGACAGACGGGCGTTAACCTCGATGATGTAGTACTGCAAAAACAAAAAACATCACATGCACAGGTTGTAACAAACTATTCACGTGTGTGTGTGTTTGCTTCTGATCCTTATGTGAACTAACCTTCATGTATTGCTAAGTAAGAACAAAAAAGGCCATCATTTTATGTGCGTTTATCTTCATGTTTACCTGCTCTGATTCGGGATTGAGAGCATACTGGATGTTACACTCTCCCACGATGCCGAGGTGCCTGATGACTTTGATGGCTGTGTTCCTCAGCATGTTGTACTCGTGATCGTTGAGCGTCTGACTGGGCGCCACTACAATCGACTCCCCAGTATGGATGCCCAGAGGGTCAATATTCTCCATATTACACACCTGAACAAGAATGAATGAATGAAGACGTGTATACTCTCAAGTATCACATGATACCATTGCTACATAAGCCGCGTTTCCACCGCAGGAACCAGGGTGTAAATTTAGTTCAGGAACTTTGGGGGGTGTGGTCTGCAGTACTGAATTTCTGACTGGTCGAGTACTTGCTGCTTTTTATTTCACCCGCAATGTTTAAAAGTCCGCAGCGAGTGAGCAAACACATTTTCCACACCGCGAAACAGGTCCAGGAGAAAGGTAAAGAAACTGAAACAGGACTTCAAACAACCAGAGTGGCGAGGGTTGCCACCATCACGTACAATGCGGGATCGTCCCGTATTTGAAAATAAAATTTGTCCCGGATTTTCGTTCATGTTATGTCCTCAAAGTGCTGTGAATGATGTAATGTCAAGTAATAATTTTGCATAATCTTCCCGGGACTTTATGCCGCGGTGGAAACGCAGACAACAACGGGACACAGGAACCTTTTAGTTCCTTAGTCGAAACGCGGCTATAGAGTGTAATGTAATTATTTTTGACTCAGTGGTGACAATAGTGCAGCAAACTACCAGTTCAGAAATATTACATTAATGTTTAAATTCACTGTATTATTTTATTACCTTAATTATCAGGTCCTGTTCATGGCATGCTTACTTTGATATATCCAAAAACTAGGATTATTATCCCAGATGCAGCATTATATAACAATGCAGTGGTAATATCCAAATACAAGAAATGACAACATCCAACACCTAAATTTGGAGAAATGATTCTTGTGTCTTCTTTACTCACAGTGATACAGTTATCGTAGGCGTCACGGACCACCTCGTACTCGATCTCTTTCCAGCCTTTCAAGGATTTGTCCACCAGCACCTGGGAGGTGTGCGCAAAGGCTGATGTCACCAGAGAGGTTAGCTCATCTTTGTTGTTGGCGAAGCCGGATCCCAGACCGCCGAGAGCAAACGCTGAACGAACCAGGACCGGGTAGCCTAGACGCTCTGCAGCTGCCAATGCCTAGAAAAAGGTTAACAATTAATAAATAAAAAAGGGGTCAATTTGGACATTGAAATTAGATAAAAACTTAACAGAGGCCATGTTTTGGTTGCTTGTTTCATATACGTCTCCTCACCTGCTCCACAGACAGCGCTGCTTCACTTGGAGCGACGTGTTCATTGATCTCTTCCATTTTCTCCACAAAGATCTTCCTGTCCTCAGTCATCTCGATGGAGGCTACCGGTGTTCCCAGAACCTTTACTTTATACTTCTCCAGGACACCAAGCTTGGTCATCTCCACGCCACAGTTCAAGGCGGTCTGACCACCGAAAGTCAACAGAACGCCGTCCGGACGCTCATTTTTTATTACCTGTGGTGATAAAAGGGAGTAAGACATGCAGTATTCATGGAGATATTGTTTGAACATGGTCACATCTTGAAATGTTATGCATGTATCCTTTGACTGCTTCTGATACATGTGAGTTTGACAAACTGACAGGCCAAACCAAAAACCTTCCAGGATCCTGTCCAGGCATTTCCAAAGCCTGGTGTTTCCACATCATTGAAGACACTGTATCAATTACAGTCTTACAACAGAGAGAATTTGTACCTGAGTGACATACTCCGGAGTGATGGGGAGGAAGTAGACTTTGTCAGCAAGGCCTTTTGACGTCTGGACAGTGGCGATGTTGGGGTTGATCAGCACAGTCTGGATGTTCTCTTCCTTCAGAGCCTTGATAGCCTGGAAAACAAAAATAATTTAATACTGGCTGAGTGGGCTTCTTCAAAATGTTGATTACATTTAGGACAGAAACAGTAACATTTTGTGATCAAATATTCTCATTATCAACTTAACTGTCCACCTCACAGTCCTCACTTTCCTACAGCCCAAAGTGACCTTTGCCCCTTTAATGGATTTGACCTCTATAACTCAGCTGCACAACTCTAATGAAAGCGGTCTTCTTTTTACAGACCTGGGAGCCGGAGTAGTCAAACTCTCCAGCCTGGCCGATGGACAGTCCTCCAGAGCCCAGGATCAGGACCTTCCTGGGTCGGACTACCTCTACAGGCTTCATGGAACCCGGGTAGGTGAGGTGATCCATCAGACGCTGCTTCACTGGGAGGGGAGAAAAAAAAAAAAAAAAAAAAAATTCATTCTTAGATCTGAAAGCTCATCTCTCTTGTATGTCACATGGTCACGACTAAAACTAAGTAGGTGACAGAGCTTTTGCAGTTACTGCTTCAAAATTATGGAAGCAGTTGTCATTCCATATTTAATGTGCTCCCTCCATCTCTAAATTTAAATCTAGACAAATTACATTTTTATTCACTGGCCTTTTTGGCTCACTAAGCTTTTAATCCATTGCTATGTTCATAATTTTGTATTTCCCCCTTATTGTCATTTTTGTTAATATGTTTTATTATGTTTCTGTATGTAGTATATTTAGTATGTTGTCCTTTGTACAGCACTTTGGTCACTGACAACACAATAACACGTGTTCAACAGCCAGGTATAGATAAAAGTCTCTTTTGTAACGAAGCCCAAAAGGCAATTACCTCATATCTTAACCACATATAAGAAATACACATTATCAAAAAGAAGCTGACCTTCAAAATCTACTGTTAAGTTAACCCCCCCCCCCAGTGTAAGATTTCATAATGATGCTATCAACACATAAGTTCCCCTGAGAAACAAGTGTCTTATATAAGAAGTGGAATGAAAGAATAGAACAAATGTACTTAAAAACTCTAATGCTGTTTTTACCCGTTTTTGTAGCGTTGCCCTCCTTGTGGTCTTTCACAGTGTCAAGGAAGACGTCGAACAAGCTGACCAGATCTGTGGGACCTGCCATGTGCTCCGGGTGGAACTGAACACTGGGAAAAGGCATCACAAGGATTTAATCACACTAAAATCTGACATTTCTGGTGTGCATTATCACATCAGCCGGTGTTTGTAAGCGCACTACCTGAACAGGGGTTGTGTGTTGTGTACGATGCCCTCGCTGGTGTGATCATTGGCGTTGGTAAAGAGAACATCCCAGCCTTCTGGCAGGGTTTCAGGGTCGACAGCAAACCCATGGTTTTGACTGGTGATGAAGCAGCGACCTGTTCCCTTGTGGATGCAGGGCTGGTTGTGGCCACGGTTTCCGTACCTGAAAGACAAGAGGAAAATCCAATACTTAAGGTTGTATACTGAGGCTCATTTTGAAAACTAGACAGACATATCTGGACAGACAACCCTGTTCTGCGTGAAGGTCAGGATGGACTGTTCCCAGTAGCCTACTGTAATTTTGTTGGCAACCCTGTTGGTCTGTCCAGGTGCCAGCAAGATTCCTGCAGGCTAATGGGAACATTCCCTGCCCATCCTGACCTTCACACAGCGTCTGATAAAGCAGCCATCAGCGAAGTCTCAGGGGAACAGAAACTCCCTGACCCCTGTGGAGTTCTACAGCAACGAGCGCAGCGACCTGCCTTACTCGCTGGCTTGTTTGTTTAGTCTTTTTCATAACACGGCCAGTCAGTGCGACACTCCAGCGCTCATACAGGAGAAGCCCAGACTGCTGAGAACAGCAAAAATCTGCATTTCACATCACAGCTCTCCCAAAGAAACTGTAGTGTGGGTGTGAATGTCTATGTTTCTAGAGGATTTTGAAGAGTCAGGTCAGTGGGGGAACATTTCTGTCTTTGTCCTGACACATGGGTGCACACTGGTAGTAATCTCCAATTTAAATCAAATTTGACGCTTTGCTTGTTTTAAGATTTATCAACTAATCATTGTACACAGTTGCGGCAGACCATGATAAAAAAAAAGAAAAAGAAAAAAAGAAGTGATTTCAGAAAAAAAAAAAAATTATCCTTGGTGTATAATCTTTTGGTGTATGCAATTGTTTTTATGTTATTTAGAGTTATGTGTGAGGTACTGACTTCATCTTGTAGGTCTTTGCTCCAATGACCAAAGAGAGCAGCTGGTGTCCAAGGCAGATACCAAAAAGTGGCTTTGGGCGATCCATGCTGACCACTTTCCTCACATTGGTGATGGTGGCCTGACAGAACTCAGGATCCCCAGGGCCGTTACTGATGAACAAACCATCAAAGTCTAAAAATGACAGGAAAAAGTTTTTTGAAATATACCAAAATTCTCTGGCCATCAAGTATCTGCCAAACTGAACATTCATATTGCAGCGTTTGAAGCCAGAGAGATTTCCTCCACCCAACTGATAGGGTGGCTGTAGCACAGATGAAAGGAGTGGGTCAGCCTATAACTGTAAGCGTTGGTAGGTTAATCCCCAGCTCCTCCTGTCCACATGCCAAAGTGTTAGAGCAAGAAACGAAACCTCAAGCTGCATGCAAATATAATTCACGTTGGATAAAAGTGTCAAATGCCAAGTTTAATGCATAAGTACCATTAGCAGTGCGTTACTGACCTGCGGTGTCCAACGGGTGGTCCCAGGGTACAACAGTAACACGGGCTCCTCTCTGAGCCAGGGAGCGGATCTGATTATATTTGATACCGCAGTCCACCGCTGTGATTCGCAGATTACCATCGGGGTTGTAAACTCTGGGTTCCTGAAGACAGTCAAAGGAAATGTAACATACATTATGTTATCAGAATGTTGACAAACAAAAACGGTAAAAGAAAAAGAAAAAAATAAGTAGCCAACCACTGGGGTCAGAACAAGGACAGTTAGTATATATAAATAGTAAGTAAAGCTAAGACAAGAACACTCTACTCAATCCTTTTAACTTCTTTACTACGTCCATTTCCTAGTTTAATTATGAGGTGTAATACTGAGCATTGAACTTAGCTTTATATTGATTATAAACAAGATCAAATCACTATTTCCTTTGCCTGATCTTAAGTCAGGAACACTGTCATTCACGTGTTTTATATCATTTGATATAAATATAGAGAAACGGCACAGAATTAAGTGTTTAGTTGCAGGGTTCTTCACAAGTTCAGGGTTTTTAAACAAACAAACAAAAAAAAGGCTTTCAACTGTCCTCTCAACTACTAATAGGGTTGTTTGTGCTGTTGTGGGTTAGTAAGTGTACTGTAATGTGGATGGGTTACCTTCATGGAGACCTCCTGGACCAGGTTCCTCTGGTCAGGATTGTCAAAAGGAACACTGTCCTCAGGAGTCCCGTCCACCACAAGCTTCCCAAGCATGGTGCCCTTCTCTCTGATCTTTTTGGTTAGACGGCGGGTGTCAATGCCTGGAGTACATGAAAAATATGGTCCCACAAAAAACAAAAGTTAGTGCTGTGCATGTATGTATGTACAGTATGTTATAATTGTTGTTTTGTACAGGTATCTAATCGTTTTGTATATCATTTCATAAATCAGATGCCAGTGGAGCAGTAGACCAAATACTACCTCATTTATTTTAATATCATATGCATATGTTGGTAAAATCACTGCAGCTAAGTTAACTATACTATACTATCCATTTAGATTTCCATTTCCTGACCTTGTAATCCAGGGATGCCTTGCTCTTTGAGCCACTGGTCCAGTGACTTGACTGAACTCCAGTGACTGGGATTCTCTGACAGCTCTCCAATAATCAGAGCTGCAGCGTGGATCTTGGACGATTCAAACCACTGACCAAGACAACAACAAGAAAAATCAGTGTATGGTGTTGGTATGAGCCTTTATTTCCCCTTTATTTTATAGTTTTCCCTCTACTGCTCATCGCTGTCTTGGCTTCTTTTAGTATTCAACTCTGAATAATTAGAGGACAGTGTAATCTGGCACTGCTTAGGTAACTATATTCTATCAATTTTGTCAAGAATCCTGCAGCCAGAGTCTCATCTAAACCCCACCCCCCAAAAATACCATGATTAAAAGGTTAAAAAAAAAAAAAAATCTCCTAACACCCCCAAAACAAGTTTGTGAATCATCTTGACACATCTTGACAATGTGTTCTTCATTATTCAAATTTTAATAGAACCTAAAATAGCTGCTCACCTTGCTTAGTCCAAACTCGCCCTCCTCCTCCTTAGGGACCCCATAGTTGCCAACCAAGGGATAAGTGAGGGTGAGCAGCTGGCAGCGGTAGGACGGGTCAGTAAGAGCCTCGGGGTAGCCCACCATACCTGTCTGGAACACTGAGCACACAACATATTCATCATCATCACATGATCCACACACAGTCAAGTCTGTCACCTGCCGAACAACAAAGGTTTTGGAGTATTATTTTGTATGAAACACATTTAACAGCTGTTGTATTAGTGGTATTAAAACTATTCAAAAGGTATTCATCAACCACTGTGTGCATATGCTCTACATGCACGAATATAAAATCTACTATTGTTTGCTTATATCACTTTTACGTTTATGTATTTTTTTCTTCTAGTAATAGTTTGTAGTGTGGTTGTATAGTATCCCGTTTAGTGGTAATTTTGTAATAAAACTGGGGCTGAATTGTGGCATCCACATGTGAAGAACTCTACTAACAAATACTTCCTTGCTCACCGGCACAAGCACACGCCACATAGAGCGAAGTTAGAGCGTTACACAAAATCAGTATTGGCTTCTCGTTAATTCGGAATGCCTCAAACAAACATTTAACATTTGGTGCAACATAGTTCAACTTTCAAAAAAAATGTTCACTTGTTATTCCTTCTTATTTGCACACTGTCCTGCCAAAAACGGAGGTGGTTAAGTCACAATATGATGGTTCATCTGTGTGTGTTGCCTTGAGGCGGATGTCAAACGCCATGTGGCATACAGGCATGCCTAGTGACAATGCTGGCTAACCAAACATTTAATTGACAGAAATTTACATGGAGTTTGGTGACCCGAACATATGGGGTGGGGGGGATGTGTGGGTTATTTGGGTTTACAGCTCTGATACATGACCGCCGTAGCACATTAAAGGCAAGCGACATTAAACGTCCACAACAAACAAAATTAGATAAAACAACATTAAAGTCTAATCTAAAGTTGGCTCCTTGCGCAGGTGGATTTTATTTGAGATGGCTAAATCAACGGAAAAATTTTTTAGCTATAAATTAATAATACTTCAAACACCCAATACTTCAAAGCACTTACCAACTTCTCCCGACACTGACACATTAGCGCCAAAAAGGCGGCCTCTGAACGTCGCCCCGTCCTCCAAAATCAAGGTTGCCATCTTTGCCATTTTATCTAATAGCTAATGCTAACGGCTCTGACCGGAGAGCTGAAGGGATGTTTTCCAGCAGTGATGAGGCCCGGGCTCCACGTGAAACTCACGCCGCGCGCGCAAACAGGAGATGCAAATGAAAGAAAATAACCTAAAAAAACTAAGTGCCGGAACACCAGATTTTCACGACCAAACACCTGCAATAGTCTTGAGGAATCTGGTGTAAATGACGGAACAATAAAGCAAAAAAAAAAAAAGTTTGGTGAAATTGTGCCGGATAGCCGGACGGGATGACGGGAGTAATGCGTTCCACACTACCCCGAGCAGTGTGGAAGTCGGCCTGTAGCCACAGTATGGACCGGCAGTTTTGACGCAGCAACACACGCGGTTCCTCTTCCTCCTCCTCCCCCCCTCCCTCTCTTCTGCTTCTTCTTCTTCTTCCTTTGTGTTTGTCAGCAGTTGGCGGTTAGCAAACCAGCTTAAAGGTGCATTACTGCCACCGGCTAGACTGGAGTGTGGATCCGGAGATTGTTGGAAAAAAACGTAATGGAACAATGAAAAGTCAAAGTATTTTACCATCTTTAGTGACTGAAAAAGCTGATTCCTGTTGTTTTTTAATTCTTTACAAAGAAGTAGTGCGTGCAGGACTGTTTCTGGCTCCCTACAGTGCCTGCATTTTCCAGTTGGGTGCTGGCCTACTTTAAGTAATGTATTTCATAATTGCATCCTGCATGACCTGTTCTCAAAGAGTTCATAATATTCACTTCCCCTCATTTTAGCTATAAATATATCCAAGTTTCATTGTAATCCCAATTCTCTGTGCACATGAATATCCTATCTTCATCTTAATGGGTTTTGCTTGTGTACTTGCTTAATTCTGAGTGTTTTTTTGGCCAGAGTACCCACCTGCTCATTTCCATCCACACCAACATCCTGTACATTAGGAATATATCATTAATAATATCTGTCCTAAATGATCTGCCAGACCTACATTCTTGTAAGTGCTGAGCAGCTATCTGCAATGACGATGTTATTTATCTCCTTCTCCATCATCCACTGCAGGGTCAGTTATTTTCCAATAGCCCTGTGATATACTGAAACATAATCTGTTAGGTGTCCTTGAGTGCCTTGAAAGGCACCTATTGATAAAATTATTATTCTATTATTTTATTTCATTTGTAAATTATTATAATAAGGTTAAGAAAATTTGCATTAATTTGTTTGCTTCATCTCTTTTAAGTGTGTTGAACATTGCTCAGTTGGTCATGTTAAGTCAGGTGATGTTTAATTTATTCCTATAAAATGTAAGCTAAAGAAGACCCTTCTATGGGCTTGAGACAGAGTATGTTGTACATTGTCTATTCTGCATATATTCTTACATACACATAATTATTGCTTAACTGTCTATTTCAACATAGTTTAACAAAATATAAGAAGTGTCTTGTCCTTCTCTGTTCATCCCTGTCACCTAGCTCAATGTATGTTAGCTGTTGTGAGGGTAAAGAGCAGTCGAATTATCGGATGTTTACATTTTTCAAACACAGCAATAAAAGTGACCTAAAGAACAGAAGCTGTTCTGTTTATCTACCAGTTTGCCACTGACTAGCTCCACATGAGAAGTTGATGATGGGGTAAATTACCTTCTTCAAAGACAGCTTAACAGCAGCTTTTGAAGAAGTAAGGCAACTATTAGGCCCCAACTTAAGTGTCATGACTGTCTTTTAATTTTCTTTGTCAGTTGATTTTATTTTGGTGATGAATTTACTGCCAACTATCTCTATCACAACAAGATTCTGTTCATGTTGTTTTAATTTTGTTGCCTTTGTTTTTGTTTGTCATTGTGTTTATCAGTCCAATATTATATCCTAATGTCCCATTTTTCATCTCAAGCACAATACTTATCTCTAAGCCTTAATAAATATCATAACATAACATATACAAACTTCCTGCTCTTACATGTTATCGCTCCTCTGCAGATCTCTGTGTCAATATAAAGAGAAAATGAGATAATGTTATACAGTTTGTGTTTGCAGCATATTCTATATTAGCTGCTTCATCGTTCACCTTGATAATCAGGAGATATATTTCAACAATAAAAAATAACAATAAATAATAATTTGAATAATAAATCATTTTTAAATTAGAGGGAATCCATGTTCACCTTAAAATTTACTTTTATGATTAAAGTATCTTAAGGGGTTTCAGATGTTAATGTCACCGTAAACTGATAATTAGTGAATTTGTTGAATATTTCAAATAAGTTTCCAGTTTCGTATCTACTCAATTTATTTATAAAGGGGTCAAAATACGATTTTTAAGGGGTTTACCTTTTGCCTTTTCAAATTAATGGACAAATAAAAGGATCTCTGGCTACCATACCCTGATTCCTTAATCTAAATTAAGGTGTTTGGTATTTATCAAACAATAAATTAATGATTAATTACGCTCCAAATCCAAGTTTAGTGAAATATCTATTATATTGTAGCTGTGGGTTATTGTGTGGGCCTATTTTACAGCACTTTACATAAATAAGTTCACAGAAACACATGGATGTATATAGAATAAATACATTACGTTTAACTGTCGAGCAAGGAAGGGGATGTAGCTCAGTGGTAGAGCGCATGCTTTGCATGTATGAGGCCCCGGGTTCAATCCCCGGCATCTCCACACTTTTGTGTCTCGAACCGAGAGAAAAAAATCTGGTCAGACCATCAAACAATTAATCAATAGATTACTAATGACTATTGAAATGCCATACATTTAACACACATATAACATATAACACTAGTATTGTGATTGTCCTTTATTATAGCATATAGTTAGCTAAACATAATATACAGTCTTATATTATAGGTTTGGAGACACTAAGCCTTTTAAAGACTGTGGTTGCAGATTTTGCACATAGATTTTAATCTAGACACATATATTAACGTTTCGCCCGTGAAAGCTATAAAGCTATTACAACCTATTTGTCTTTATTACATCTGTGAAACAAAACAGACTCGCTCGTATATCCCACAACTTTGAACGCACCATACGTCCCCCCGCCCCGGCGGTAACTAAGGAGATCACAGTTATGTTTACTACAAAGATGTCCTCCCTGCTAGCTGCTAGCTTGGAGCTGGTCCGCAAAATGACCAAATTCTAAATATTCCACTGTATCTCAGCTCTAATAACATTATTCCCAGTACAAGGTTCCTGAACACTTACGACAATGCAACTGAAGCATTTAAGAACACTTTTAACCCCCCAGGTAAGTTCAGTGACAAGTTAGCTAACGTTAGCTGGTGCTGGATGAGCAGCATCAGTTGAAAACTGTGTAACGTTAATCATCCCAAATCATGACTCGAAAGCTGTAACGAAACACAAATTTCCTCTTGTCAAATCGGGATTGTAATTGATTTCAGTGATACGTGTGTAATTGGTAATAAATGCAGATTTTTACAGTTACCTTACTTTGCTCGCTAGCACTGAGGTGGCTTACATGGACAAAGTTATGCTTAGCTGTCGTTGTCTCCGTACACATATCATCAGCTGTAACAATTAAAACAGTTAAATCTCCAATGGAGTTTAGCGTGAGCAATGGTGGTAACAGAATATAACGAATGTGTCTGGACAGAATGTATCTGCATTGGCCAGGATTATGAAACAAGGGCCCCTGGGCACAAACATTTGACGCCCCCTTCCCTTCAATTTTGTCATTTTGTGTAACTGAGTAGCCATGTTAAGTGTTTTTGTGGTAGTTTGGAGTCTCTTTGCGGTCAAAAGTTTTTTTATATTTATGGTCGTTTTGTTTCAACAGAAACAGGGGCTCTGGCCCAGGGCTCCTCTGGCCCCTTCGGCCCTTGGGCCTGCCCATTAATCCGCTGAGGGTATTGGCTAGTCATAATTTATAACTGTTTGTCTTCTTTGCCTTCATAGGAGGGTGCTGCCAAAGTGACATGCATGGCCTGGGCACAGAACAACACCAAGTTTGCTGTTTGTACTGTTGACAGGGTGGTGCTACTCTATGATGAGCAGGGAGAGAGGAGAGACAAGTTTTCCACCAAACCCCTGGACTCCAAGGTGAAACATTAGGACACATCATGTTTGTCTACTACAAACACCACTGAAACATCTGCAGAATCACATTATGAAGCATGAAGTGGTATTGCCTTTGAGTGATGTGTGTTGTTGAAATCAGCCTCGTACACCTCTGATATGACGGATATGATTTACTGTGAAACAAAAATGTGAGCACTGAATGATTTTTGAATGGATCCCCTTACAGTACAGTATTAGAGCTGTTATGATCAGTTGACTAATCAGTTAGTTGACAAAAAAAAAAAAATCTGCAACGATTTTGATAATCAATTGATATTTCCCGGCATCTTTCAAAGCAAAAATGCCAAAGATTTGCTATTTCCACCATCTCAGATTTGAGAATTTGCTGTTTTTCTTTGTCTTATGTGTCAGTTAATGAGACATCTTTTCGTTAACTCTACTTAAAGTAACTTTCTATAACTGTATTGAAATCAGCTGGGTGATTACAAAAATTACTCCTTTACCCAGTTTTCTCTAGTGGAAACAAAGCTGGTGAATTTATCCTTTCCTTATTGTACACATTCAGTTTATGAGATTTTTTTGCCTGCTTTTGTAATGATAATATCCACATGTAATCTTTTGTCAGTATGGAAAACAAAGCTATGTTGTCAATGACATGGTGTTTTCACCGGACTCCACCAAAATCGCCATCGGCCAGTCTGACAACATCATCTTCGTCTACAGAATTGGAGAGGACTGGTGATTTCCTTTGGATTATAAAACTTAACATATTGAACCTGATTTTGTTTTTTTAATGTATGTCAATGCAGGGAAACAAATTTTTTATGAGTTATCTTCTCTCCTAGGGGGGACAAGAAAGCCATTTGCAACAAATTTGTTCAGACAGTAAGTAAACATACATATTTTGTTCAGGCAGTGAAGCGCACACTTAAAGAGACAGTAACTTATCAAATATTGTCATATATTATCATATATTGTCAGTCAACCATTTATTAAAAATATATAATGTTATATATTAGGCTGGTGATGCCCTGATCATGTCATTTTATCCACTGAATTGCAGAGTGCTGTGACTTGCCTGCTTTGGCCTGCAGAACATGCAATCGTTTATGGATTAGTTGATGGCAAGGTAAGGTACATTTAGACTTAACATACAGTTTGTTCATGTATAATTATTAATATTAGTATTACGCAAGTATCAGGAGTAGCAGACAGGCTATGTCAGAGGTGTTTTCACTCCATCATGTTACATGTTTTGGCTTAGCATCAAAATAACATTTGTATTTCTTGC